AACATGCTGCTAACTTACATTTCCTGCAATCTAGAGCAAGTTTTTTTTTTTCAATGATAACAAATAAATTACAAAATATTATAATTATTTTATTTTGTATGATTATATAGTGGCACAGCCAGTCCAGAAGGTGTCGCAGCGCCCCTCCTACATTCTTTGGGGAGAACTCGAGTATACTGAATATATAATATACCTGTATATACAGTATAAACTGGGTATAGTATAGAAAATGCCTCTAGGAGAGGTAAACAAGAAAATGCCTTTGGAAACATACCATATATAATACTGTATATGCCATTAAGCAGACTAAGTCACTTTTTATCCAAAGCGACTTAGTCCTGGCGTTGCAAGCGCCATGCTCTACTAACTGAGCCACACATGACCACGAGAACAAGTGCATGTTTTAGAACAAAAAAATATAAATTACCTATGATTCCAAAGGAATAGAGCGAGAGCTGTTTTCCAAGCAGGTCCATGCTTTTCTGTAAAGGTGTTTTAGGGGCTTCCTCTGCTTGCATCATCTTAAAAACCTCTCCAAATTCAGAATTTTCTCCTGTTCCTATGACGATACCCTATAAAGACAAAAACAAAAAGGTTACACAATGATATAAGACGTTATAATCACAATCTGTAACTTTAATTTCCAGCAAGAAGTTCTGCTCCATCACTTATTGGTAAACTGTTGGGATGGGATCATGGTGACATTGTGGTACCTTGGCTTTGCCACATCGCACCAGGGTTCCCATGAAGGACACATTGCTGCGGGAGGTGATGTCATTGTTGGTGGGCTGGTGGGACGTGCACTTGGAGCAGGGAGTGGTCTCTCCTGTCAGACTGGACTCATCCACTGATAGGTCAGTTGCCTGGGAGAGAGAGAGGGGTGAAAAGGGTCGCTCACTATGGCCAGCCACTTCAGCAATTATTTTGCTGACAGCTAGTGAAGTCTTTATTACATCTAGGCACCTTCCAGATCTGTGTTTAAGTGGAAGGGTGACGACGACGGTATCTTTTTATAGCTTCTGAACGGGTGTGTGTGTATAATATACCTCAAAGAGTCGTAGATCAGCCGGGACTCTCTCCCCAACAGAGAGACAGACAGTGTCTCCAGGGACCAGCTCCCGAGCCAGCATGCGCTCCAGGTGTCCTTCCCTCACACTAGAGAGAGAGGGGGGGGGGAGAGATCGAGAGAGAGAGAAACAGAGAGAGCGAGAGAGATATGGATAGAGAGAGAGTGTGTGTGAGCGACAGAGATTGTGTGAGAAGGAGAGCGAGAGAGCGCGAGAAGAGACAGAGAGAGAGGAGAGAGACAAAAGAGGGAATTGAAATTTCAAGCCAGGCTGTAAATCAGGCAATGACCAGTGTAATGCTACAGTGTGCAAGCTATCCTACACTATGCTAGTTCCATCACCAGTATCCAAGGGCAACAGCTTGTAACAGCCTGGGGATATGGAAGAGAGAGTGTGTGAGTATTTTGTGGGGAGGGGGGGGACTTGTGTTTGAAGTGCAAATCTGGCCCTCTGGATCATGTTTGAAGTGGAAATGACATCCATTACATCCATGTCCCCTGTTCACTTGTTTCAGGAGGTACCAGTGCTTTCTTTATCCCAGGACGTGTGCACTAAGTCTATGGGAGTGACGTTGGTCCTAAACTGCTTCCACGGTGTTAGACTGTCATTCCATTTGTAGATACAATTAGTGATGGGTGAGTAAGAAAAACATAACAGAGCATTGGAGCTGAGAGAGGCAGTTCTCACCAGTGGCATTCTGGAGGCACAAGTTTTCCCAGCTCTTCAAGGGACTTCTCGGAGCGGTATTCCTACAGAGAAACAGAGAGCAGGGCTGAAACAACTCTCTATGAATGTCTTTGATCAGTTTTCATGCCCCTCATAAATGATGGAACAGCCATGCATTTCCAATGTTCTCTCTACGGAGACGAGCCACACACACACACACAGCCGTCTGTTCTGTTCCACTGTGATCTATTAGGCAACTGGCTTAGTATTCTGAGAATACACCATGACATCTGCAGAGAAACACACTGACTGACTCCCTGTGAAAACTAACACAGTCCACAGTGAAGGCAAATAAAGAGGTCTTACCTGGACAAAGGCAACTGTAACCACTATTATAATGGCCTGTCAAGGAGGGGGGGGGGGGGAGAGAGAGAGAAGGATAATAGGTTAGTGCTTAACTCTCCATTCTCTGTAGTACCCAGTCTAATCCGTTGTCACCGACACATTTATGGAGCACCTTACCACTGTGATGCTGATGGCGTCATCAAACTGGTGCATGAGCACACTGATGACAGCAGAGGCCAGTAGCAACATGATGAGAGGGTCCTTAAACTGGAGAGAGAGTGAGAGAGACAGAGAGAAAGCCATCATTGAGCTGTTGCACTGCACGATCAATACCAATGTTCCACATCTGATATGATGGGTAGTGACTTGTGTGAGTGAGTGAGACTATATAGAACAGAGCCAGAATAAGGGACTCTGTACAGAGAAAGTCGGAAGCCCATTAATTTGTCATACAGGTCCCGAAAGCACCTGGAACGTTTTCTGTCACACACACACACACAGTCTACTGTATCTCAATGACACAGTAATACTTTCAGTGACACAGAAAACCTCCAACACAGTAGCTACACAGTCAGAGACATCTGCACTAGGCTCCACAGCCATGACTACATCTCCTCTACATGTGAAACCTTGCTGGCAGACAGAGAGAGAGTAATGGCTGAATGTAGCCTGGTTCCTCTCTGGCAGACAGAGAGAGAGTAATGGCTGAATGTAGCCTGGTTCCTCTCTAGGTTTCTTCCTAGGTTCCTGCCGTTCTAGGGAGCTTTTCCTAGCCACCGTGCTTCTACATCTGCATTGCTTGCTCTTTGGGGTTTTAGGCTGACTTTAGAGGAGAGGGGAGACTCACTAATCTATAAATCACCTTGCATCATAAATAACTACTCAATATTATTTGTAGATCAGTCCTAGAAGGATTACTTTATCCTATCCCAGGTATTCCTTAAAGAGGTGGGGTTTCAAGTGTCTCCGGAAGGTGGTGAGTGACTCCGCTGTCCTGGCGTCGTGAGGGAGCTTGTTCCACCATTGGGGTGCCAGAGCAACGAACAGTTTTGACTGGGCTGAGTGGGAACTGTGCTTCCGCAGAGGTAGGGGGGCCAGCAGGACAGAGGTGGATGAACGCAATGCCCTCGTTTGGGTGTAGGGACTGATCAGAGCCTGAAGGTACGGAGGTGCCGTTCCCCTCACAGCTCCGTAGGCAAGCACCATGGTCTTGTAGCAGATGCGAGCTTCAACTGGAAGCCAGTGGAGTGTGCGGAGGAGCGGAGTGACGTGAGAGAGCTTGGGAAGGTTGAACACCAGACGGGCTGCGGCATTCTGGATGAGTTGTAGGGGTTTAATGGCACATGCAGGGAGCCCAGCCAACAGCGAGTTGCAGTAATCCAGACGGGAGATGACAAGTGCCTGGATGGTCACAATTTACCCATTATACATCATGGTTTGATGCTCTCAAACACGGCCACTGACTGCACAGTGGGAGAACAGGCCCAATCTGTCATGTCTGGGCAAGCCACTAATTAGCCAGCCAATGGCGCTGTGTTGCTGTCGCTCCCTTTGACAGGATAATTGAGGCAGCGTGGGGAGCGAACAAAGCACTGAGTCTACAGTAATTAGTGTGCTCAATACTTACATAGCGGTTAGAAATCAGGTACGAGTGACATTAGTGTTTGATTAAAGGCCTCCAGAGCCCTGATTTCCTGGTTACTTCTGACAGGAACAGGAGCCTCCTATAGGCCAATTACCTTCATAAATGCTGACATCACACTCTGGGACTTTTGAGGTGCAAATAATCACGCTGTCTCTCCTGTACACACAGTTACCTCTGCAGTCAGTAGGGCTGCCTGTAGTCTACTAGCATATGGAATACAACTGTTCTATGGTTGTCTGTTTTGCCTTGCACTTGAATTAACACAAGGACATCACAGTCCTTGACTATGTATGCGCTTCCACCCAGGCACCCACTGTTGGCCTCTCAGAGGGATGGATTCAACACCACTATGTACCCACTGTTGGCCTCTCAGAGGGATGGATTCAACACCACTATGTACCCACTGTTGGCCTCTCAGAGGGATGGATTCAACACCACTATGTACCCACTGTTGGCCTCTCAGAGGGATGGATTCAACACCACTATGTACCCACTGTTGGCCTCTGAGGGATGGATTCAACACCACTATGTACCCACTGTTGGCCTCTCAGAGGGATGGATTCAACACCACTATGTACCCACTGTTGGCCTCTCTGAGTGATGGATTCAACACCACTATGTACCCACTGTTGGCCTCTCAGAGGGATGGATTCAACACCACTATGTACCCACTGTTGGCCTCTCAGAGGGATGGATTCAACACCACTATGTACCCACTGCTGGCCTCTCTGAGTGATGGATTCAACACCACTATGTACCCACTGTTGGCCTCTCAGAGGGATGGATTCAACACCACTATGTACCCACTGCTGGCCTCTGAGGGATGGATTCAACACCACTATGTACCCACTGCTGGCCTCTCAGAGGGATGGATTCAACACCACTATGTACCCACTGTTGGCCTCTCAGAGGGATGGATTCAACACCACTATGTACTCACTGTTGGCCTCTCAGAGGGATGGATTCAACACCACTATGTACCCACTGTTGGCCTCTCAGAGGGATGGATTCAACACCAACATGTACCCACTGCTGGCCTCTCTGAGTGATGGATTCAACACCAACATGTACAGTGCTTTTAGAGCGCAGTCTGATAACAGTGATCAATGACTCTTCACGCCACCACTTTATCCTCTGGGATGCTAAAACAGATGAAAATCTGCAGCGGCAACGAGGTGCAGCGACGGGGGAGATTATGATGATGCCAAACTAATGCCTTGTGCTGCTTTCTCACTTTGCTGCTAAAAATACTGGTGAGAAGATTACACACACACACAATATTATTTATCTCTAATGCTGGAGGGCCTTGTCGGTGCGTGGTAGCCCTGTTTGATGCTGCAGGCAGGCTCACTGAGGCATGGATCTGAGCTGATGGTGATGGTGGGATCCTCCAAGAGACGGGGAGAGATGGAGCTGAGCTGATGGTGGGATCCTCCAGGAGACAGGGAGAGATGGAGCTGAGCTGATGGTGGGATCCTCCAAGAGACGGGGAGAGATGGAGCTGAGCTGATGGTGGGATCCTCCAGGAGACAGGGAGAGATGGAGCTGAGCTGATGGTGGGATCCTCCAGGAGACAGGGAGAGATGGAGCTGAGCTGATGGTGGGATCCTCCAGGAGACAGGGAGAGAAGGAGCTGAGCTGATGGTGGGATCCTCCAGGAGACAGGGAGAGATGGAGCTGAGCTGATGGTGGGATCCTCCAGGAGACAGGGAGAGATGGAGCTGAGCTGATGGTGGGATCCTCCAGGAGACAGGGAGAGATGGAGCTGAGCTGATGGTGGGATCCTCCAGGAGACAGGGGGAGCTGAGCTGATGGTGGGATCCTCCAGGAGACAGGGGGAGCTGAGCTGATGGTGGGATCCTCCAGGAGACAGGGGGAGCTGAGCTGATGGTGGGATCCTCCAGGAGACAGGGGGAGCTGAGCTGATGGTGGGATCCTCCAGGAGACAGGGGGAGCTGAGCTGATGGTGGGATCCTCCAGGAGACAGGGGGAGCTGAGCTGATGGTGGGATCCTCCAGGAGACAGGGAGAGTATCACGTCGCTGCTCTGTTCTGTACAGACAACCTGCCTGACTGGCACAGCCCAAACTAGTGACAGATTAATGACCCGAATGATTGTAGCTCTTCACTCAATGTGTGTGTGTGTGTGTGCCAATGCTGCTTCTGACAGATTTCACGCACACACAAACAAACAAACTAGCTAGCTAGACTGGACCATCTCTGGTAGTTCAGTAACTCAGTAAGGGTGCATCAGGCCTCAAGCCATTACACCAAGGATTAATCTGATCTGACAACACTGAGAGGAGCCAGGGGAGTAGGGGAGTGGGGGAGTAGGGGAATAGGGGAATAGGGAGGGGAATAGGGAGGAGAGTAGGGGAATAGGGGAGTAGGGGAATAGGATAATAGGGGAGTAGGGGAGTAGGGGAATAGGGGAGTGAGTAGGGAGGGGAATAGGGGAGTAGGGGAGGGAGTGAGTAGGGAGTAGGTGAATAGGGGAGTAGGGGAATGGGGGAGTAGGGGAATATGTGAGTAGGGGAATAGGGGAGTAGCACTCTCCCAATTCAGACGATAGGGAGGGATGAATACGATAGTGGTGAATGAATACCGTGATTAATATTCTAGATAATTTTTTAAAATCTAATCTTGAGTACTGTCCTGCCTTTCCATGGACGTTGACCCTGTCACCTAGGGGAGTTAGGTTTGGGTCTTAAGCGTTCTGGGACAAATGGCTTTGAGAAAATACCATAAAATATGGAATGGAGAAATTCGAAAATGGTGTTACTGATAGAACAGCCTCTGATCTGGTTCAATCTGGCTAGATCTAAAGTGCCTCTGTAATTATGATTAGTACAAAAAAAATTAAATAAAGATTTCCCCCCTGCAATTTAAACAAACCAAACCTCCAAAGTACAGCAATGGCTCATGGCATAATTACGTATTTTTTGATAAGTTTCCATGGCAACAGGAGGCTGCATCTGATGTCAACCACGTGATGAGTAAGTGGCTGATCTTTCTTCTTCTTTTTTGGCACAACAGCAGGGTATCAAAGGGGGTGAAACAAAGAAAGAAGAGAGAGAGAGGGGGGGGTCAGAGGGGAGAGAGTGCGGGGAGAGAGAGAGTGGGAATAGAGGAGATGGGGAGAAGGAGAGAAAGACGGGGAGAGGGAGACGGAGGAGAGAGAGTAGGGGGGAGAGAGTAGGGGGGAGAGAGAGAGTAGGGGCCAAGAGAGAGCGGCGGGGGAGAGAGAGCGAGGGGGAGAGAGAGAGAGCGTGGGGAGAGAGAGAGAGTGCGGGGTGAGAGAGAGAGAGAGCGCGGGGGAGAAGAGAGAGCGGCGGGGGAGAGAGAGAGCGAGCGCGGGGAGAGAGAGAGCGCGGGGGAGAGAGAGAGCGCGGGGGAGAGAGAGAGCGCGGGGGAGAGAGAGAGCGCGGGGGAGAGAGAGAGCGCGGGGGGAGAGAGAGAGCGCGGGGGAGAGAGAGCGCGGGGAGAGAGAGAGCGCGGGGGGGAGAGAGAGAGCGCGGGGGAGAGAGAGAGCGCGGGAGGGGGGGGATGAGGAGAAAAACGGCCTCTCAGGGTGGCAGCTCTATATTTATCCGACCGCTCATCACTTTGCTTCTGGCCACGGAAGACAGAAACCAGGCAGAGCGGCCCAGATTTTTACTCCTCTCCCTCCCTCCTACCCCAGAGGACACTGGGAGCTTTTGTCCTTGCTGAAGAAGCCAAGAGCGAACCAAGAGCGGGGCGGAGGGAGGACAGCAGGTGATCTGTGATATTTCACATGTACTAAACACTACAGCATGTAGGGAGCTGCTTCTGAAACCTGAAGCCCTACTGCAGCTTTGGCTTCAGCACTCGCAGGAAATGTCTAGTAATGTCAGTGGTGGGATGCTGTGCTAGAACTCCAGCATCAAAGCCAGGATGCATCAAGTGTGAGGGTGTTCCCCTTTTTGCTTATTTAGTCTTCATACACATTTACTACAACGCCATAATAATGTTATGAATTTCAGGTTTTGGTAGCTTCCCTTCACTCTCCAGGGAGTTGTAGTTTTTCTGCTTGACGTCTATCCGCCACTCACCTGGGAGATGTACTTCCTCCAGAGAGGCTCCTCCTCATTGATGTCGAACTCATTCCAGCCATGGTAGGCACGGCGACGGGTGACCTCACTGTGGGTCAGGCCGTACTGCAGGTCAGCCTGAGGGAAGGAGCATGGTTACCAACAACAACGGTGTCAGGTGACTAGCGTGTGATCATGAGATGAGGGGCTCACCCTTTAATGTGCTTGAGGGGCGTTATTTGACACCAAGTTCACAGTGATGCTGACTAGGTCTAACTTGTGTCACCTAGCTATCTTAAGATGAATGCACTGACTAAGTCATCTGGATAAGAGCGTTTGTTAAATGACTCAAATGTCTATGTATTCCATTACTATTAGTGCAATGTACTAAGTTCTACATTTTTCACTGTGCCATACATACCTGCAGGACACACGTTACTTCGTTCACTGGTAGTTCGCTGGCTTTTTTTGAAGTTAGTACTGGAACCATGGTCTCATCTTCACACTGGGGTTGTCTCTCGGAAAGCTGCAACAAACAGACAGACACACAATAACATAATGAAGATCAAGAAATATCCATTATCCTTGTATATAGCCCCGTTATTGTTATTGTTTTTGTGTTACTATTTTTCCTTTAGTTTATTTAGCAAATTTGTCTTACTTTCTAAAAACTCTACTAGTTAAGGGCTGGTAAGTAAGCATTTCACTGTAAGGTCTACTACACCTGTTGTATTCTGCGCATGTGACATTTTTGGGGGGATTTGATTTAATGGAATCAAAAATGTAATCCCTTGCATATATAGTGTAGTCCAGACAGCTTGATGCTACAACAACGCCCACAGAGATTAGATGGTACCCCTTCTCATCATGCCATAGCCTTTGCTATACCATAGCTTTAAGATTAAGGCTGCACTTAGCTCCACTATGCTAATGCTAGTTCGGCCATTAGGCCAGATGTCCGCCAGTCAGCCAAACAATATCACTCACACAGAGGTCAGGCATATCAGGACTTAGTCACAAACAACACGCTTCATGACAATCGAAGGCGTTTTTGTGATTGTTTTTTTCAAAAGACCAAAAAAGCATGCTGGGGAAAAAAAATAGTACTTCATAGCAATGTACAGTTGAAATCGGAAGTTTACATACACCTTAGCCAAATAAATTTAAATTCAGTTTTTCGCAATTCCTGACATTTAATCCTAGTACAAATTCCCTGTCTTAGGTCAGTTAGGATCACCACTTTATTTTAAAGAATGTGAAATGTCAGAATAATAGTAGAGAGAATTATTTCTTTCAGCTTTTATTTCTTTCATCACATTCCCAGTGGGTCAGAAGTTTACATACACTCAATTGGTATTTGGTGGCATTGCCTTTAAATAGTTTAACTTGGGTCAAATGTTTTGGGTAGCCTTCCACAAGCTTCCCACAATAATTTGGGTGAATTTTGGCCCATTCCTCCTGACAGAGCTGGTGTAACTGAGTCAGGTTTGTAGGCCTCCTTGCTCGCACACGCTTTTTCAGTTCTGCCCACACATTTTCTATAGGATTGAGGTCAGGGCTTTGTGATGGCCACTCCAATACCTCGACTTTGTTGTCCTTAAGGCATTTTGCCACAACTTTGGAAGTATGCTTGGGGTCATTGTCTATTTGGAAGATCCATTTGCGACCAAGCTTTAACTTCCTGACTGATGTCTTGAGATGTTGCTTCAATATATCCACATAATTTTCCTTCCTCATGATGCCATCTATTTTGTGAAGTGCACCAGTCCCTCCTGCAGCAAAGCACCCCCACAGCATGATGCTGCCACCCCCGTGCTTCACAGTTGGGATGGTGTTCTTCGGCTTGCAAGCGACCCCCTTTTTCCTCCAAACATAACGATGGTCATTATGGCCAAACAGTTCTATTTTTGTTTCATCAGACCAGAGGACATTTCTCCAAAAAGTACAATCTTTGTCCCCATGTGCAGTTGCAAACCGTAGTCTGTTTTGGAGCAGTGGCGTCTTCCTTGCCGAGCGGCCTTTCAGGTTATGTCGATATAGGACTCGTTTTACTGTGGATATAGATCATTTTGTACCTGTTTCCTCAAGCATCTTCACAAGGTCCTTTGCTGTTGTTCTGGGATTGATTTGCACTTTTCGCACCAAAGTACGTTCATCTCTAGGAGACAGAATGCATCTCCTTCCTGAGCGGTATGACGGCTGCGTTGTCCCATGGTGTTTATACTAGCGTACTATTGTTTGTACAGATGAACGTGGTACCTTCAGGCGTTTGAAAATTGCTCCCAAGGATGAACCAGACTTGTGGAGGTCTACAATTCATTTTCTGAGGTCTTGGCTGATTTCTTTTGATTTTCCTGTGATGTCAAGCAAAGAGGCACTGAGTTTGAAGGTAGGCCTTGAGATACATCTACAGGTACACCTCCAATTGACTCAAATTATGTCAATTAGCCTATCAGAAGCTTCTAAAGCCATGACATCATCATGCATCTCCCGAGTGGCGCAGTGGTCTAAGGCACTGCATCGCAGTGCTAGCTGTGCCACTAGAGATCCTGGTTCGAATCCAGGCTCTGCTGTAGCCGGCCGCAACCGGGAGACCAATGGGGCGGCGCACAATTGGCCCAGCGTCGTCCAGGGTAGGGGAGGGAATGGCCGGCAGGGAGTTAGCTCAGTTGGTAGAGCATGGCGTTTGCAACGCCAGGGTTGTGGTTTCGATTCCCACGGGGGGCCAGTATGAAAATAAAAAAAGAATAATGTATGCACTAACTAAGTCGCTCTGGATAAGAGCGTCTGCTAAATGACGTAAATGTAAATGTAAACATCATTTTCTGGAATTTTCCAAGCTGTTTAAAGGCACAGTCAACTTAGTGTATGTAAACTTCTGACCCACTGGAATTGTGATACAGTGAATTATAAGTGAAATAATCTGTCTGTAAACAATTGTTGGAAAAATGACTTGTGTCATGCACAAAGTAGATGTCCTAACCGACTTGCCTAAACTATAGTTCTTTAGCAAGACATTTGTGGAGTGGTTGAAAAACAAGTTTTAATGACTCCAACCTAAGTGTATGTAAACTTCCGACTTCAACTGTACCATGTGCCAACTGGTTGCAATTCAGAGCTAAGGCTTTACACGGACATACAGTAAGTCATCTAAGATAAATGATGGAGCGATGGAACCAGAAGATACACACAAAAACCTGCAAGCTAGACCTACAAGTTATCTAATCCAACAACTGAGGTCTAGCAAAAGGCAGTCTGCTGTGCTCCCTCTGCCAAGATAGAGTCAACACCAGTGGTTACTTGTCAGCCCTCCTCGTCAAACAAACCATCTCACTCTGTTACCGTAGAGAGGACTGTAGGCAGGCGATGACACAGTAACTGTACGACAGGCAGGAGTGTGAATGACCTGTTCTGTGCCCCGTCATCGCCACCCACCCACACCTCCTGGTCCTGCCCGTAACGTCTACTGCTAAAAGAGGTATCCAACCAACATCTGTCTGTCTGTGTCTCCACTCCCCCAGAACCACCAATATCCCTCTCCTTCTCCTCCCTCGCGTCTTCCCTCTCTACTCTCTCTCCGGCGTTTAGATGAGACAACGTTTCTTACGTAAGTAAGAGGCTGGAGAGTGTTCTTTTAGCCTGAGAGGATTCCATCTAATTAAGAGTGACAAGAGGTTAAACCTGGATCAGACTCTCTCTGTCTCCCCTCATCTTCACTCCCTCCACTCTGTGTAGAATAATGAATGAAAAGGTCACACTGCTTTCTGTGCAATTGAAGAGCTTGAGAAGAAAAGCTGTAGAGAAGGAGAGGGACTAGAGGCATGGAGGAGTGAATGAGTAGAGAACCCTCGCTCCTCCTCTCCTTGTCCTTCCTCTCTTTACCATCCTTCTAACCTCTCTTTACTGCTCTCTCTCTCGCTTTACCATCCTTCTAACCTCTCTTTACTGCTCTCTCTCTCGCTTTACCATCCTTCTAACCTCTCTTTACTGCTCTCTCTCTCGCTTTACCATCCTTCTAACCTCTCTTTACCTCTCTCTCTCTCTCTCTCTCTCTCTCTCCTCACCATCCTTGCTGGATCCTTGCTGGATCGAATCCCTGAGCTGACAAGGTAAAAATCAGTAGTTCTGCCCGAGCATGGAAGTTAACCCACTGTTCCCCGGGCACCGAAGACGTGGATGTCGATTAAGGCAGCCCTCCGCACCTCTCTGATTCAGAGGGGTTGGGTTAAATGCAGAAGACACATTTCAGTTGAATGCATTCAGTTGTACAACAGACTAGGTTTTCCCCTTTCCCTCTCCAATAGTGCTGAGTGATGTTTTTTAAACAACTAATTGACCTATCGTTTTTTTCTTTGAGCTCAATGCGCACATTGCACAGTTTCTCTAGAGATGAATCAGGGAGTTGTAGTTTCCAACAGGCCAATATTCTACATAGTTCAGCGCATAAAACGTGGTAATTAACTACAATGACCATAATCCATTGAGCATATTCTTGTCCGGTCTGTGTTTCTTTTACGCCTGCTACAGAAGAGAGAAGAATGCACTATCGTGAGGGAATAGAGGGCAGCTGTTGCTTCGAGAGGTATCTCAACCTGAAATTACATGACCTAAGTGATTGATAGTTGATATTCAGCAGTCATAAAAGTATACCTTATTTACTTTGAAGAACTATCGGCATAGGCATCAGCTCTATAGAGATGAGATGACTTGGTATGAAATAATAAAGTCATCAAGTAAAACAAATGTAATATACACAACTTAAATATTTTATTAAAGTAAAGTATTATGAATAAATGATGGTTAATAAGTGATAAGCAGTAATGGGCAGTCACTACCATCATGGGACTTGTATTAATTGTTTTATTCTGTGTTGTTACAGCATTCAACCCACATAATGCATGTAATGTTGTTGTTTTTTAATCAAAACCGAAATCCTTAAATTTTTTTCAATCGAACAAACCTCAAAAAGCACTAATAGCTCAGCACTACTCCCCAACCCTGTTCTTGGAGAGCTACCGTCCTGAAGGTTTTCGCTCCAAACCTAATCTAGCGCACCTGATTCTAATAATTAACTGCTTGATAAGCTGAATCAGGTTAGTTACAACTGGGGTTGGAGTGAAAACCTACAGGAGGATAGATCTCCAGGAACAGGATTGGAGAGCCCTGGTCTAGATGTAATGCTGTGCTTCAGGCGTTGCTGGGGGCCTATCCTATGAGGACAATCTGAAGAAGTGCAAGGTGTGCTATGCTTCAACCGTGCCCTTTTAACCTTAACCCCTACAAGATAGAAGAAGAAAAAAAAAAAGGACATTGTCAAGACCCTTACAGATGTGACAAGTTCTCCAGCACACCTTTTCTAGTGGCGACTAGCGAGCCAATCCATTCTCTCGGTTTCACTGACAGAATGGGATCCTCTAACATTCTGAGAGGGGTAGGGAGAAAGCCAAATAGAGCGGCAGAGGGAAAGAGAGGTGGGGGATTTGTTCATAACCTGGATTTGTCCTCTGGTTGACTATTCTTCTGACTAACTTAAATCTTGCTTAAATCTGTAACCATCTGTGCAACTTAGCGACCAGTTGAAGTGATGTGTTACTACACACTTAGGCTTATATACCATGGCTTGGCTGAATACTCCATTCTGATTGGTTGAGAGGGTGTTTTATTTTCTGACATATACGCAACGCTAAACCTGCTATACTGTAGAACGCCACACCAGGCAGCGGTAAGTTGATACTGTGAGAAAGGGGCTTTGAAAGAAAGATGGTGGTGGTGATAAGGCTAGGTTACTGCTGTACGCCGACTCACCCTCCCCTACGCTCATTACCAGCTTCTTAGTGTAAACACAAACAGTCAAATCAAACAGAAACGGAGCTATATGTCAGCGTTTCTACTCTCGCTTCAGAAGAATAGTGATGAGAAAGACAAAGGAGGTAGGATTTTCCCTACTAGCACTGTTGGAGCTAGAAGCACAAGCATTTCGCTACACCCGCAATAACATCTGCTAAACACGTGTATGTGACAAATACAATTTGATTTGATTTGACTCCACATCCCCCTGTCAATCCATCTGTCATTCCATCACGTTTCACTCCACATCCCCCTGTGTCAATCCATCTTTCATTCCATCACATTTCACTACATATCCCTGTGTCAATCCATCACATTTCACTCCACATCCCCCTGTGTCAAATCCATCTTTCATTCCATCCAGCACAGCCGCGAGCTGCCCAGTGACACAAGCCTACCAGACGAGCTAAACCACTTCTATGCTCGCTTCGAGGCAAGCAACACTGAAGCATGCATGAGAGCACCAGCTGTTCCGGATGACTATGTGATCACGCTCTCCGTAGCCGATGTGAGTAAGACTTTTAAGCAGGTCAACATTCACAAGGCCGCAGGGCCAGACGGATTACCAGGACGTGTACTCCGAGCATGTGCTGACCAACTGGCAAGTGTCTTCACTGACATTTTCAACATGTCCCTGACTGAGTCTGTAATACCAACATGTTTCAAGCAGACCACCATAGTCCCCGTGCCCAAGAACTCTAAGATAACCTGCCTAAATGACTACCGACCCGTAGCACTGACGTCTGTAGCCATGAAGTGCTTTGAAAGACTGGTCATGGCTCACATCAACAGCATAATCCCAGAAACCCTAGACCCACTCCAATTTACATACCGCCCCAACAGATCCACAGATGATGCAATCTCTATCGCACTCCACACTGCCCTTTCCCACCTGGACAAGAGGAACACCTACGTGAGAATGCTATTCATTGACTACAGCTGAGCATTCAACACCATAGTGCCCTCTAAGCTCATCACTAAGCTAAGGATCCTGGGACTAAACACCTCCCTCTGCAACTGGATCCTGGACTTCCTGACGGGCCGCCCCCAGGTGGTAAGGGTAGGTAACAACACATCTGCCACACTGATCCTCAACACAGGGGCCCCTCAGGGGTGCGTGCTCAGTCCCCTCCTGTACTCTCTGTTCACCCATGACTGCATGGCCAGGCACGACTCCAACACCATCATTAAGTTTGCCGATGACACAACAGTGGTAGGCCTGATCACCGACAACGATGAGACAGCCTATAGGGAGGAGGTCAGAGATCTGGTCGTGTGGTGCCAGGACAACAACCTCTCCCTCAACGTGACCAAGACAAAGGAGATGATTGTGGACTACAGGAAAAAAAAAAGAGGACTGAGCACGCCCCCATTCTCATCGACGGGGCTGTAGTGGAACAGGTTGAGAGCTTCAAGTTCCTTGGTGTCCACATCACCAACAAACTATCATGGTCCAAACACACCAAGACAGTCGTGAAGAGGGCACGACAAAGCCTATTCCCCCTCAGGAGACTAAAAAGATTTGGCATGGGTCCTCAGATCCTCAAAAAATTCTACAGCTGCACCATCGAGAGCATCCTGACTGGTTGCATCACCGCCTGGTATGGCAACTGCTTGGCCTCTGACCGCAAGGCACTACAGAGGGTAGTGCGTACGGCCCAGTACATCACTGGGGCAAAGCTTCCTGCCATCCAGGACCTCTATACCAGGCGGTGTCAGAGGAAGGCCCTCAAAATTGTCAAAGACTCCAGCCACCCTAGTCATAGACTGTTCTCTCTGCTACCGCACGGCAAGCGGTACCGGAGTGCCAAGTCTAGGTCCAAAAGACTTCTCAACAGCTTCTACCCCCAAGCCATAAGACTCCTGAACAGCTAATCATGGCTACCCGGACTATTTGCACTGCCCCCCCACCCCATCCCTTTTACACTGCTGCTACTCTGTTAAGTATTTATTTAGGCTATGTTACCACCAAGCAAACATCATACAACAACATTTCGGCTATATTACCACCAAGTCAACAAAGAGAAATCAGTAACCTAGCCCATAGAGAACCAAACCTCTCACACACACACACACCCTCTCACACAAAGACTGGTTAGACTGCATATACTATAGGTGTTGTGTCCGGGTCCGGGTCCATTATTTCAAGTAGCCTACCCCCTAGCAGACCAGGGTTCAAATGCATGGAGCATTTAAATATTTGTATTTAAAAATACATTTGTCTGTGTATTTGAGTATTTTCAAATACATGCCCATACTTTCCAATTTTATTTCCAAACACATTCCAATATTCAAATACTTGTATTTTCAAAGAGAAAATATCTAAATACTTAAAAATGTCTTTGAAAGTAGGCCTAATTGAAATACCCTAAGTAGTATTTAAACCCAGGTCTGTTTACAGTAGTGCAGAGATCAGATCAAATAAGACATGATGAGAGAACAACATACTACAGGTGTTGTTTCCTGGTCCGGGTTGGCCATTATTGTTGTAGACCAGGCTGCTACCTGTCAATATCAACAGGTTGAGTGGCTGAATCACAGTCCGGGGAATCCGTTTCTCCCTCTCTCTCAAGCAAACAAAGAGAAAATCAGTAGCCTAGCACATAGAGAACCAAACACACAGCTGCAAATTGTCTCACACACACACATACACACCCTCTCTCACAAAAAGACTGGCTAGACTTGACAGACTGCACATACTATTATAGGTGTCGTTACCGGGTCCTGGTTGGCCATTTTCGTTGTAGATCAGGCTGCTACCTGTCAATATCAACAGGTTGAGTGGCTGAATTCATTTGTCTCTCTCTCTTTCCCTCTCAAGCTGATAAGAGGTAATAGGTACAATAAGAGCATTGTGCTTCCACAGGATCTGAACACTGGTAACACACGCCTACCGTAACACACGCCTACCGTAACACACGCCTACCGTAACACACGCCTACCGTAACACACGCCTACCCAGTAGCCATAAGGAGGAGGAGCACCAGGATCAAAGAGGAGAGATCAGATCAAATAACAAGAAGATATGTTGAGAGGTCAATGGAAAGGAGAGATCAGATCAAATAACAAGAATATATGTTGAGAGGTCAATGGAAAGGAGAGATCAGATCAAATAACAAGAAGATATGTTGAGAGGTCAATGGAAAGGAGAGATCAGATCAAATAACAGAAGATATGTTGAGGGGTCAATGGAAAGGAGATATCCGATCAAATAACAAGAGATATGTTGAGAGGTCAATGGAAAGGAGAGATCAGATCAAATAAGACATGTTGAGAGGTCAATGGAACGGAGAGATCAGATCAAATAACAAGATATGTTGAGGGGTCAATGGAAAGGAGAGATCAGATCAAATAACTAATCACGTTATGTCACATGCTTCGTAAAGGTGTCCACGAACAGTGAAATGCTTACTGACGGGCCCTTCCCAACAATGCACAGATTTTAAAAAATTGAAATAGTAGAAATAGAAAAAGAATAACAAGGAATAAATGAGTAAGGATAACTTGGCTATATCCACAGAGTACCAGTACCAAGTTCATGTGCAGGGGTACAAGGTCATTGAGGTACAAGATATGTTGAGAGGTCAATGTGGTCCCTCAGTTGGTAGAGCATGGTACTTGCAACGGCAGGGTTGTGGGTTTGTTTCCCACGGGGGGCCAGTATGAAAAAAAGTATAAAAATAAATAAATAAATAAATGTATGCCCTCACTAACTGTAAGTCGCTCTGGATAAGAGCGTCTGCTAAATGACAAAAAAAATAAAACTGTAAAATGAAAAGGAGAGATCAGATCAAATAACAAGACCTGTTGGGAGGTCAATGGAAACACCACACAAATGCAGTAGAGTTCAAGAGACTGCCAGGAGTTATTGGAATGCTACTGGAATAGAGCTGGGAGATATGGACAAAAATCCATATCGCAATAAATTGCCTGATTTTATGCGATAACAATAAATAGAATGATATGTTTATAACATTAATGTGCACTACAATTGTCCCATTAACAATCACCCATATTAGTAAACTTACTTCATTTCAAACTTCATATTTTTCTAGTATAGGCTACTTATCTTAATGAACGATATCAGCAAAATGCCTGCGATAAGGGATCGGCGTCGATCATTTTCGGTTTATCGTCACAGCTCTATACTGGAATGTTTTGTACTAAAAAATATACAAATATTATTATCTTTGACATTCTCCAGACGTTCCGGGTGGAGAGAAGGAGCATGCTGGGAATGTTGCAATGATAGCTAGCCAGGCTAGGACGCTATGCTTTTGTGAGTGGCTCAGCGAAACATAGAAGCCATGCCAATGAACAAACAAAGACTTCTCTTTGCACAAACAGAGGGCTGCTGGGGACTGTCACTGGTGGGTAAGTTTGCGGTCCAGACAGAAGAGGAGACAGAAGCTGGAAAATTCCGACAAATCTCATGACTTCCTCTTCTTGTTTCCACCCAGAACAATGCCAGATGCTATTGTTAAAAAATACAATATGAGGGGTGTTATAACATGTACCGTCACATCAGTGTGAATAATGCTGTGTGCCAGCTGGTGGATGTGCCAGGTAAGCAGACAAACAATGAAGACAGTAGCGTAACTCTTTAGCCTATCAAAGAGCTCACCTTGTAGCTCATTCTTAGAGCCTCTCAAGGATTTGCATAGAAAAAAACATTTTAATCCATAGCACAACACTCCTCCTATACACAACACAGGGACACAAAGATAAACTGTTGAAAACAACTAGGATAATACATTTTCTGACCTTGCATATACAGAGGCAGCGATTCAGGTGCCCTTAGGAAAGGCTTTATTATTTCCATCTACAATGTGTAGCCGTTCAGAGAGGGGCCATTGTTGAATAGACGCAGAAACTGGGTGCTCTTGGTCTTCCTATACAAGTAGAGAGCCAAGACCATGAAGTTACAGAGTAGCTGACAAGACATCAGCTATTGAGATATGCTACCAGACAAGGGTTTCAGAAAAAGCCTACATATTACCTACTGTAGGAAGTCGCTGGCTTCAGCCTACCTATTACCTACTGTAGGAAGTCGCTGGCTTCATCCTACCTATTACCTACTGTAGGAAGTCGCTGGCTTCATCCTACCTATTACCTACTGTAGGAAGTCGCTGGCTTCATCCTACCTATTACCTACTGTAGGAAGTCGCTGGCTTCTTCCTACCTATTACCTACTGTAGGAAGTCGCTGGCTTCAGCCTACCTATACCAAACATGCGCTCTAAGCCTAACATATAGGTATTAGGTACAAACATGCGCTCTAAGCCTGACATACAGTGAGGGAAAAAAGTATTTGATCCCCTGCTGATTTTGTACGTTTGCCCACTGACAAAGACATGATCAGTCTATAATTTTAAATGGTAGGTTTATTTGAACAGTGAGAGACAGAATAACAACAAAATAATCCAGAAAAACGCATGTAAAAAATGTTATAAATTGATTTGCATTTTAATGAGGGAAATAAGTATTTGACCCCTCTGCAAAACATGACTTAGTACTTGGTGGCAAAACCCTTATTGGCAATCACAGAGGTCAGATGTTTCTTGTAGTTGGCCACCAGGTTTGCACACATCTCAGGAGGGATTTTGTCCCACTCCTCTTTGCAGATCTTCTCCAAGTCATTAAGGTTTCGAGCCTGACGTTTGGCAACTCAAACCTTCAGCTCCCTCCACAGATTTTCTATGGGATTAAGGTCTGGAGACTGGCTAGGCCACTCCAGGACCTTAATGTGCTTCTTCTTGAGCCACTCCTTTGTTGCCTTGGCCGTGTGTTTTGGGTCATTGTCATGCTAGAATACCCATCCACGACCCATTTTCAATGCCCTGGCTGAGGGAAGGAGGTTCTCACCCAAGATTTGACGGTACATGGCCCCGTCCATCGTCCCTTTGATGCGGTGAAGTTGTCCTGTCCCCTTAGCAGAAAAACACCCCCAAAGCATAATGTTTCCACCTCCATGTTTGACGGTGGGGATGGTGTTCCTGGGGTCATAGGCAGCATTCCTCCTCCTCCAAACATGGCGAGTTGAGTTGATGCCAAAGAGCTCGATTTTGGTCTCATCTGACCACAACACTTTCACCCAGTTCTCCTCTGAATCATTCAGATGTTCATTGGCAAACTTCAGACGGGCCTGTATATGTGCCTTGTTGAGCAGGGGGACCTTGCGGGCGCTGCAAGATTTCAGTCCTTCACGGCGTAGTGTGTTACCAATTGTTTTCTTGGTGGCTATGGTCCCAGCTGCCTTGAGATCATTGACAATATCCTCCCGTGTAGTTCTGGGCTGATTCCTCACTGTTCTCATGATCATTGCAACTCCACGAGGTGAGATCTTGCATGGAGCCCCATGCCGAGGGAGATTGACAGTTATTTTGTGTTTCTTCCATTTGCGAATAATCGCACCAACGGTTGTCACCTTCTCACCAAGCTGCTTGGCGATGGTCTTGTAGCCCATTCCAGCCTTGTGTAGGTCTACAATCTTGTCCCTGACATCCTTGGAGAGCTCTTTGGTCTTGGCCATGGTGGAGAGTTTGGAATCTGATTGATTGATTGCTTCTGTGGACAGGTGTCTTTTATACAGGTAACAAGCTGAGATTAGGAGCACTCCCTTTAAGAGTGTGCTCCTAATCTCAGCTCGTTACCTGTATAAAAGACAAATCTTTCTGATTGAGAGGGGGTCAAATACTTATCTCCCTCATTAAAATGCAAATCAATTTATAACATTTTTGACATGCGTTTTTCTGAAATTTGTTGTTGTTATTCTGTCTCTCACTGTTCAAATAAACCTACCATTAAAATTATAGACTGATCATTTCTTTGTCAGTGGGCAAACTCAAATACTTTTTTCCCTCACTGTATAGGTATTAGGTACAAACATGCGCTCTAACCCTGACATATAGGTATTAGGTACAAACATGCGCTCTAACCCTGACATATAGGTATTAGGTACAAACATGCGCTCTAACCCTGACATATAGGTATTAGGTACAAACATGTGCTCTAACCCTGTGCAGGACAGAAACAGGTGATGACAAATGTTGATCTGTGGCGCTTGATGGGGCATGAAAATAGTGTGCTGCTGAATCTAGTTTGGTTAATAATAGAACGTGGGCCATCTTGGACACTGGGCAGGGTCTGCTGGTCCAGTTTACAGACTCAATGCCTGAGGGCCAGATAAATGATTAGACCACAGGCTTGGGCGGTATCCAGATTTTCATATCATTATACCGTCCTTCTCTCACCCTGGGATTTACGGTATTACTGGCATGGTGGGGGAGCAAAAAACACAAGAAAAGCTAATTGGGCCTATATTACCAGAATGCTAACAAAATTTGCACAAACTAATAGTGAAATCACATAGACGCTGTTAGCTAAATACTAACGAGCAAAAACGAACATAAACTACTTGCAAAGACAGGCAAATCCAGCACATAACGTTATACAAGCATAGCTAGTAACTACCGAATGTTATTTTTCAGTGCGTTTAGACATTTACAAGCAAGAGTGAACGAGAGAAATTGTGCAAATGAACAAAGTTGTGATGACGGCTTTTCTGAAGGAAGAGCAGCATGAAGAACACGGAGAAGAACGAAAAACACTAGAAGGAAGCACAGGGGACAAAATGGCAACTGTACTGACAACTCACATTATAAAATATCTGATGGCAAACATTTAATAGTGAATTGTAGTGTAAATGAATCATCTCATGTGCGCCGCAGAACAGAGGTTCACCGTAGAACACTACGGACTCACCAGCTCCCACTTTCTCCTGTTGTGCTATTTACAAACAAACACGTGACTGGCTCAACTGTTCTGGGGAACTACTAATATGGCAGGTGAAATGAAGAATGCAATCTGCTTTATCTCCAAACGTATTTCACAAGTTGACTGCTGGTATTAACTTAAAAAGTAGCTACAAATATAAAATGTATTGAAAAACTTCAAATAAATTGTTTTAACGGTATTTGAAAAACCATCCCCTGGCTATTTCCAAATACCCCGGTATAAGGTATATACGGTATACCGCCCAAGCCTACAACAGGCTCTAGGTGATGCTGTCTGGAACAGAGGCTGGTTTATTAAAAGGCCACAGTGAGGGACAGCGGTCAGGCTGGGAAGGACAGGCCCTGTCTGGTAACAGAGACATGTCAGTCCACAAGGGAGTGGCAGAAAAAGAACAGAAAGAGAGAGGGGGAAGGGGTACTGTGGTTAGACAGGTGGTAGGGGGGAAATGAAGGATTGTGAGAGTGAGGATAAAGATGTACAGTTTAGACTCTAAAGACATGGAGAGACAGGGAGAGAAGATGGAAGGAGAGAGAGAGAGAGAGAGAGAGAGAGAGAGAGAGAGAGAGAGAGAGAGAGAAAGAGCGAGAGAGAGAGCTGTGGTGAGCGCAAGAGAGGGGAAGAGGGACAGTGAGAGTGAGAGAATATGGTGGGCCTGGGGAGGTGAGAGATAAATAGAGAGAGAAGAGAGGGAGGACAGAGAAAAGAGAGAGAGGGGGCTTGGGCACTGGATGTGCCAGTCCCGCCTCCCGTTTCACTTTGCCACCACACCACTCTCCCTCCCTTAGCCAGGCAAACATAAAGAGCAAACACACCAACTGAACACGTACGCACTCCAACACGGACACAGCCCCCTCCCTGCCCTGCATCCTATCTGGACTGAATAACTTGACACACACACTTCACAGGGTCAAGGATGGTTGACTTTATTATAGGCGCCTAGCCGCCTACTAGTTTGCTTTTGTAACCATCCAATGACGCTGTGTTAACTTATCACCACGGCAACTTGCAGAGAGCAGATTTCATAACACTGCATCAAAGAATAAACACTGGTAGCCTAGTCTACTCAACTGAACAACTTCAGTTACAGTTGGCATTGACACATAGCCTAGTTAATTTTAAGGATATAATTCTCATCCTCAAAAAGTTAATAAAAAAATCTGCCTCTGAACAAAAGTGGTGTGCATCTGACCTGTGTGAATAGTGAACGCCATTGGAGGTTGGGTTGTTGGTAGCTGTTACTCAGAAGTCAGGTTCTTGCCAGTTACACACTGGCTACATTTTCAGAACAGCACTGAAATGCTCAGGCATTACTCACAATATTTGCAGTGGAAATTAACTCAACTGTTCTTTTATGATGTCTGTGAGATGAGGGCGCCAGGCCAAATTTTTCAGGACAAGTGATTATTGTAGACATCCACTGTAGGCTATGGCTTTTTATGCATGTTTCATAACCATTTAATTATATTGTGTAAACTCATCACCAAGGCTGTCACGTTCGTTGAAGGACGGGTCAGACCAAGGCGCAGCGTGAAATGCATACATGTTTATTATTCAAAATAAACAGGCTGAACACAATACAAGCCTCTACACGGAACAAGATCCCACAACTAATGATTGCAAACAGGCTGCCTAAGTATGAGCCCCAATCAGAGACAACGAGTGACAGCTGTCTCTGATTGGGAATCACACCCGGCCAAACATAGAAATAAAACACCTAGAACGTAAACATAGAAATAACAACATAGAACTCCACACCCTGACTCAACATACTAGAGTCCCAAAAGTCAGGGTGTGACAGTACCCCCACCCCCCCCCAAGGTGCGGACTCGGACCGCACAAACCAGACCTAACAGGGTAGGGTCCGGTTGGGCATTCCGCCTCTGAGGCGGATCCGGCTCCGGGCGTGACGACCACATTCTCTCAGCCTCCCCGTTGCGCCCCTGGTCCGCAGCTTCCCCTCTCCTTCCTCCCACGATGTACCAAGCCCTGTCTGGACCCTGGTGTGGGAGACCCCGAACCTGGAGAGGGGCTGACGTCTGGGTCTGGACTGGAGCCGCTGACCGGAGCTGGACTGGGCACTGGTGGAGCGGACTACTCTGGCTCCGGACTGGAGCCGCTGACCGGAGCTGGACTTGGCACCGGTGGAGCGGACTGCTCTGGCTCCGGACTGGAGCCGCTGACCGGAGCTGGACTTGGCACCGGTGGAGCGGACTACTCTGGCTCCGGACTGGAGCCGCTGACCGGAGCTGAACTGTGCACTGGTGGAGCGGACTGCTCTGGCTCCGGAGTGGAGCAGCTGACCGGAGCTGGAGCAGGCACCGGTGGAACGGGCACGGGCCGTTCAAGGCACACTTAATCAGCATGTCTACCACAGCATTCTGCAGTGATACACCATCCCATCTGGTTTGGGCTTAGTGGGACTATCATTTATTTTTCAACAGGACAATGACCCAACACACCTCCAGGCTGTGTAAGGGCTATTTTACCAAGAAGGAGAGTGATGGAGTGCTGCATCAGATGACCTGGCCTCCACAATCCCCCGGGATGGCGTATCGCTGCAGAATCCTGTGGTAGACATGCTGGTTAAGCGTGCCTTGAATTCTAAATAAATCACAGACAGTGTCACCAGCAAAGCAACCCCACACCTCCTCCTCCATGCTTCACGGTGGGAACTACACATGCAGGGATCATCCGTTCCCCTACTCTGCGTCTCACAAAGACACAACAGTTGGAACCAAAAATCTCATATTTGGACTCATCAGACCTAAGGACAGATTTCCACCGGTCTAATGTCCATTGCTCATGTTTCTTGGCCCAAGCAAGTCTCTTCTTATTATTGGTGTCCTTTAGTAGTGGTTTCTTTGTAGCAATTCAACCATGAAGGCCTGATTCACGCAGTCTCCTCTGAACAGTTGATATTGAGATGTGTCGGTTACTTTAACTCTGTGAAGCATTTATTTGGGCTGCAATTTCTGAGGCTGGTAACTCTATTGAACTTATCCTCTGCAGTAGAGGTAACTCTGGATCTTCCTTTCCTGTGGCGGTCCTCATGACAGCCAGTTTCATCATAGCGCTTGATGGTTTTTGCAACTGCATTTGAAGAAACATTCAAAGTTCTTTAAATGTTCCGTATTGACTGACCTTCATGTCTTAAAGTAATGATGGACTAAAGAAAAACCCTGGAATGAGTAGCTGTGTCCAAACCTTTGACTGGTAGTGTAGCTATTGCCAGACTGGTCATTGGAAATGTTGCTAAATGTGCAGGCTTAATTATAAACATAGTTTAGCTAAGTATACAGTCTAAATGCACCCCAAAAGTATGTATATGCATTGTAAAGGCAATTTTTAAGCGTGCAGCCCTTAGTCTAGTCTGCAGTTGGCTTACTATGCACTGATGGTTGTTGAAAGCCACACTAGTTGAAAATTTTTCTGTTTTAGTAATGGGTGGTCCTCTGTGGTCCTCTGTGACACCAGAGGCTCTCTCTCTGAGAAGGAATTGCATGTTTGTCCATAATGATAGACTTCAAGTTGCCCTCTCTCTCTCACACACACTACTGCCATGCATTCTGATGTAGGCTATGTCTGGGTGAGAAGCAGGCAGAGCTTTCTGTGAACGACTTGATACACCCATGCAACCCTTATGTATGTGAATTAAATTCAGTCATCTAGCCAAAATCCCCTGAATTAAATTGCAGAGACAGCACAATACAGACGACAAAATACAATCAACTATATGAACCTGTCAAAAACAACAACACACAAGCCCCTTGGCTTCATGCTCGAAAACAAATTGACACAATGACACGGTGAACACCAAATGCAACAAGGCTTTAGCCAAAGCTACACCCTCGTGGTTAGTGCGGGTTGTGCTATCTAGGTCATTGCTCTACATACTATTGCATTGACACTTTTTATTGATCAGCAAAATTCAACATGCTGCTTAGTTGCTTGCAAATGGGGTTTTTTACTTTATAAGAAAAAAAAACGATTCGTGTATTTGAGGTAGTATCACCAGTGGGTTAGTAACATCGCGGTTCCGTGCTACTGGAAAACGACACCAATAAAGTGGGCAGTGGGACTGCCGGGGCAATATAACGCTAACGTTACTTTACATAATCGTCATAGCTAGCTATGAGGATATGGTTGTTGGGTTATAGCACACTGCAAGCTAGCTAGATAGGTATTGTTGGTTTTGTTGTTCTGACTTTTACATGAAGCTGCATATGTATCCCTGAACCATCTCAAAGTTCGCTGTGACAACAAACAACTATCCTGTATGACAGCAATTTATACATGTCACGTAAACAGTATTTCTACCGATAAAAACACTACGCTCACCTCCCGTGATCATGGAGCTCTCGACTGTAACATTATACTGCTGTAACAAGCTACATTGTCTTTCCCTTGCGCCAGCTCCCCCCACTGTCCTTGTTGAACAAAACCATTGTCAACACATGCTTTTATATCTAAATACAACTCACTCTTGGGTATATACTATGTTGTAAATATTTGAAAATATGAATATAACGTTCAGTAATCCGGAAACTTACCAGCAGCTCCCGTTTCTTCAGCATCTTCCGTGAAATCCACTGTCGCTTCTCTCTGACGGACTGTCACCGGTGAGGTCAGCACGCTAGAAGCGTAGAGCTGTATTTTAATAATCTAAAACAGTTCCTCTCCTCGTCCCTTGCTCTCGTTCATTGACATCAGGTAACTTCACAGACGAAAGAAAAAAAAAAAAAACATGTAGGCATCTCACATATTGCTTTCACATCTACTTTGTGTTTTAAAAACGTGAAACCTAGAACCGGAAGTGACGTTTGTTTATGTGTCTGTGCATTCTGCGGAGGGATATTATCTTCTTTTTTTATCTTACTGGATTTTACAGGAAATGTTACTTTCCTTCAGCTGTCAACTGAACCCACAGAACAAGCTACATCTCGACGCAAAATTTATATTTTTCTCAAATGGAGTCGTCTTAGCAAAATGCATGGGAATGACATATTAGAACCGATTGAGTTAGCTAGATGCTAACTAGCTACGAAGCCGAACAGTACTACGCCGCATCTCAACCATCTGGTAAACAATACCCCACTGTAATTTCATCAACGTCACGTGCATTTTGTGTTCGATTTGTATTGTAAGTATATCAAACTGCATGTACTTTTCGGTTGTTATGTATTGTTTTTCTTTGTTTAGTAAACTGACATTCATGCGCGTAACAATGGTAAGTTATTGCACTGTCATCATCACAGTGTACCGTCCTCACATGATGAAGCAATGCATATGACCCCATTTTCATGGCAGAGTAAGTAGCACTAAACGAGTTTGAAAGCAGCTAACTAGATAACAATTTGTATCCAGTACTGTAGGCACAGTTAGTGTTTACCTAGCTATGTTATTTACATTTAGACATACCGTTGTTGATAGCCCACCTCTGTGATTGCTCTCTGCAATTGTGTAGCAAATCCTCGCTGCTTCAGAAAGCTTTATTTAGTACATGATTTGTCATACATGGCTTTATTGTATGGGGAGGGTTTCCCGGCTAGGTTTATTGCTTAATTATAAGCCGGGTAGTTTGGATACTGGATGCTGATTGGCTAAAACAGCATTCAGCCGTGTGTATGTGAGACCTTATACCATGACATTTAGCCTTTTCACAATGAAAGCTGTGAGACCGTATACCACGGGTATGACAAAACATTTATTTTTGCTGCTCTAATTACGTTTGTAACCAGTTTATAATAGCAATAAGGCACCTCGGGGGTTTGTGGTATATGGCCAATATACCACGGCTAAGGGCTGTATCCAAGCACTCCGCATTGTGTCGTGCTTAAGAACAGCCCTTAGCCATGGTATATTGCCCATATACCACACCCCATCGGGCATTATTGCTTAATTATGCAATAGGTGTGAAATTACTTTAGGTTGTATTGGCTGATCTGATAGCCATCCGCGAACTGTTACAATCCTTGAATCTATTTTTGTTTTTCTTATTTTGGCAAACATTTGACTATTCATGTCTATGTCAAACCAGGACCCGGGTCAGAGTGTATCAGAACCATGGGGAATCAGCTGGCAGGGATCGCTCCCGCCCAGATTCTATCTGTCGACAGCTACTTCTCTGATATCCATGATCACGAGTATGACAAGAGCCTGGGCAGCACGCGCTTCTTCAAGGTGGCACGCGCCAAGCACAGGGAAGGCCTGGTGGTGGTGAAGGTGTTTGCCATCCAGGACCCATCTCTACCTCTCACCAGCTACAAGCAGGAGCTGGAGGAGCTAAAGATCAGACTACATTCCTGCCAGAACTGCCTGCCCTTCCAGAAGGCCTCCCTCACTGAGAAAGCAGCCATCCTCTTCCGCCAGTATGTCCGGGACAACTTGTATGATCGCATCAGCACGCGGCCCTTCCTCAACAATGTAGAGAAGCGCTGGCTAGCCTTCCAGATCCTCACCGCCGTAGACCAGGCGCACAAATCGGGCGTGCGCCACGGTGACATTAAGACCGAGAACGTGATGGTGACCAGCTGGAACTGGGTGCTGCTCACAGACTTTGCCAGCTTCAAGCCCACCTATCTGCCCGAGGACAACCCAGCTGACTTTAATTACTTCTTTGACACATCTCGACGGAGGACATGTTACATCGCCCCCGAGAGGTTTGTGGATGGGAGTATGTTCACCACAGACAGTGACCAGAATACCCCTCTGGTGGACCTCACCAGCAACAGCCAGAGGAGCAGGGGAGAGCTCAAACAGGCCATGGATATCTTCTCAGCAGGTAACTTTCAGAGCTGAAACATATAGATATTTTCTGTTCAGGGGCAATAAAGAGAGATAGGTGGATGCCATGGACTCGTCCAATTTACTAGTAGTTGTAGGTTCAACATTGAGTGTTTAATCATCTAATGTACATTCCCCTTCCCTGACTGTTATTTCATGTGTTTTTCAGGTTGTGTGATCGCAGAACTCTTCACAGAGGGAGTACCACTGTTCGATCTCTCCCAACTTCTGGCGTATCGCAAAGGACACTTCCAGACAGAGCACGTTCTCATGAAAATAGAAGACTGTTACATCAGAGAGCTAGTAATAGTCAATATGTTTTGTTTTTACATGAAGACGTTCTTGTGAAATACTAAATTCATCCTGAGCACCAATTCTTAAGTGTACCGCTGTCTCCTGGTAACCACCAAAACTCTCTTTTCACCTCCTAGGTGGCCCAGATGGTGCAGCGGGAGCCGGAGAAGCGTCTAACTGCGGAGGAGTACCTGAAGCAGCAGAGAGGTAATGCCTTCCCAGACATCTTCTACACCTTCCTGCAGCCCTACATGGCCCAGTTTGCCAAGGAGACCTTCCAGTCGGCAGACGAGCGTGTGCTGGTCATCCGCAAGGACCTGGACAACATCCTCCATAACCTCCGCGGGGGAGGGCCAGGCGGGTCCTCGGAGAAGCCTGAGAAGGGGGACCAGGAGTCGGGTGTGGTGTCGGCCAAGGAGGAGCAGGGCCTGGTGGTGCTGGTGTCTGTCATCACCTCCTGCCTCCAGACGCTGCGTTCCTGCGACTCCAAGCTGGCGGCTCTGGAGCTGGTGCTGCATCTGGCGGGCCGCCTTAGGGTGGAGACGCTGCTGGACCGCATCACGCCATACCTGCTGCACTTCTGCAGCGACCCGGCGCCGCGGGTTAGGGCCCAGGCTGTGCACACCCTAGCCAAGGTGCTGGCACTGGTGAAGGAGGTTCCCCGTAACGATGTCAACATCTACCCCGAGTACATCCTGCCAGGCATTGCCCACCTGGCGCAGGACGATGCCACCATCGTCAGGCTGGCATACGCAGGTCAGTTGGGTTGACAATGACTACGGGTCGCTCTAAATATGATTACACACCTAATAGTCCAAAGGTTGACAGTGTTTATGTTGTTTGTAATGCCTAGTCATTCCCCCCTCTCCTTTTCTCAGAGAACATAGCCCACCTGGCTGAGACAGCTTTGCGGTTTTTAGAGCTTGTTCAGGAGAATAACCTGAATATGGAGCACGACTTGAACGGAGAGGACACAGAGGAGACCCTTCATCCCAACGAGAACTACGACTCTGGTAATTTTAAGGCCTCCTCTCTCTCAAATATCAGCTCGGAGGTAGAGCTCCCTATATTCTGTTCTGACTTCCTGTTCCTCCTGACAGAGCTGCAGGCGCTGCATGAGATGGTACAGCAGAAGGTGGTTACGTTACTGAGCGACTCAGAGAACATCGTCAAGCAGTCTCTGATGGAGAACGGCATCACGCGGCTCTGTGTGTTCTTCGGCCGGCAGAAGGCCAACGACGTGCTCCTGTCCCACATGATCACCTTCCTGAATGACAAGAATGACTGGCACCTCCGGGGAGCCTTCTTCGACAGCATCGTGGGTAAGGGGCAGGACTGTGCCACAGACACGGTGCCCACACTTAGTCACTCAAATACGCTAATGGACAAAGCTGGATGTGTACATGCAGGAAGTCTCATTGATACAGACATAGAATGTATTTTCTCTCCATTGACCCCTGTCTTTCTCTTTGCGCTCTCTTCTGCCTCCCCCCTCCCTCTTGGTCTCTGTCTTTTACTTTTCTCTTTTACTCTCTCTCTCCCTCTTTTTACATCTCTCCCTCTCTCTCTCCCTCTCTTTACATCTCTCCCCTCTCTCTCTCCCTCTCTTTACATCTCTCCCTCTCTCTCTCCCTCTCTTTACATCTCTCCCTCTCTTTACATCTCTCTCTCCCTCTTTCCATCTCTCTCTCTCTCTCTCCCTCTTTACATCGCTCTCTCCCTCTTTCCATCTCTCTCTCTCCCTCTCTTTCCATCTCCTCTCTCTCTCTCTCCCTCTCTTTCCATCTCTCCCCTCTCTCTCCCTCTCTTTCCATCTCTCTCTCTCTCCTCCTCTCTCCCTCTCTTTCCATCTCTCCCTCTCTTTCCATCTCTCCCTCTCTCTCCAATTCCTCCAGGTGTGGCGGCGTACGTGGGCTGGCAGAGCTCGTCCATCCTGAAGCCCCTCCTGCAGCAGGGTCTGAGTGATGCGGAGGAGTTTGTCATCTACAAGGCCCTCAACGCTCTCACCTGCATGTGCCAGCTGGGCCTGCTGCAGAAACCACACATCTACGAGTTTGTCAGTGACATCGGTGAGAGAGGGTAGAGAGGGGTTTAGAGACGGCAGTGGAAGGAGAGTGTTATTACTATTTGGCCATGTAAAAAAGGCACTTTTTGTGATGAACTTTTCCCCCCTTATTTTGAAAAGCCCCATTCCTGTGCCACCCCAACCTGTGGATCCGCTACGGGGCGGTGGGCTTTATCACTGTGGTGGCCCAGCACCTCAACATAGCAGACGTCTACTGCAAACTGATGCCTCACCTCAACCCCTTCATCACCCAGCCCATCATACAGGTAGGACTTCCACACACGCTCACTTACCACCTTCGTGTGTAACACATTGAAAGAATCTCCCAGACTCGTATTAAATTATGTTATACTGTGCTATGTTATGGTGTGCTGTACTGTGCTATGCTGTGTTAAATGAGGCTGTTTCCTCTCAGATCGATAAAGAGATAGTGCTGCTGAGTGTGCTGAAGGAGCCAGTGAGCCGCTCCATCTTCGACTACTCCCTGCGCTCCAAAGACATCGGCAGCCTCTTCCGCCACCTGCTGCTGCGGCAGAAGAAGCGCAGGGGCTCACTCCCAGAATGCCCCATTCCGGAGGACCCCGCCATCGCCCAGCTGCTTAAGAAACTGCTCTCGCAGGTCAGAGGGCGGGGGTGATGTGTCTCAATGTGACATGGATGGGAAATGTATGTTCCCCATATAATGCACAACTTTTGACCGTTATTGTTATGATGATGATCGACGATGATGATGATGATGATGATGATAATTGTTTATTCTAGGGGATGACAGAGGCTGAAGAGGACAAGCTGCTAGCACTGAAGGACTTCATGCTCAAGTCCAACAAGGCCAAGGCCAACATGGGAGACCAGAGCCACCTGGGGGAGGCGGTCCAGAGTGGGGTCATTGACCTGGCCACGCTGGGCATCATGGGACGTCAGGTGGACCTGGTCAAACCCAAACAGGAGGTCGAGGACAAGCGAGGTAGGGACGCCACTGCCACCTGCTGGTCAAAGTACACCCCTGTAATAGCAGAGAGGGTGACACAAACCCAAAGGCTGCATTTACACAGACAGCCCAATTCTGATCTTTTGGGCAATTTTTGTCAAAAGTGCTAATCTGATTGGTCAAAAGACGAATTAATGATTGTAAAAAATTATTGGAAATGGGCTGCCTGTGTAAACACAGCCAAATTGACCCTTAGCCTTAAGACACTTGTGTGTATAGACACTGAAAGGATTGGATAGGTTGATATTATAGTTGATATATTCTCACCATGTTTGATGTCAATTACTTGTCGTTTATCTGTTTGCAGACTTCATCGCCACAGCATCTGGTATATTGCTGGTGTAGTTTATCCTGTAATGATGTGCATAACAAATAATCCCATCCAGACATAATTTCCCCCAGATTACCCACATCGCCTCATTACATTTAATTCATTTGATGGGTTAAACTGCGTCAGGAGAAGCATAGTTTTCACATTTTCTCATGACCTCTCTAGCTGTCTACACACGACAGAGCAGTACATGTTAGTGTTCAGCACATACACATCTCCTTTTCCCTGTAGTCAAATAAAATGTCAGACTGGCCTTGAGTTCTGTTAACATACCAGGCAGACTCCCCTTAGGGGCATCAAGATTTGTTAAAAAGACATGTGTGCTCTCTGGCAGTAGTGTAAACAATGGATCTAAGGCCCTTAGTCTGCTTAAGTATCACTATACCAGTTAAATCCCATATGGGTCTAGATATTAGATTCCATGGTATTGAATAGAAAGTATTTATTCAAGCACATACTGAAAGATTGTGTTGTGTATCTACGCCATAGGGATAACAGGTATATTAACATCTAACATCTTTTGGCGTTTTGGAGTGTTTTTTCATAGACACTGTTAGTAGCTTGTCTGACACAACTTACCGTGGGCTAAGAGTGACTGTGTGTTGCAGCTGGTATGTTTCAATCGCATGGAACTGTCCTTTTGGAGTGTTGGACTGCTGCTGGTGACTAATTTAACTACTCACCCTAACATGTCCTGTTATTAGCATATCTCCCAGCTCCAACTGCTTTGTGTAGTCTGGTGGTCTTAAAACCTGTTGTATCTGCATTGGCCTTCAACTCCTTTAACGCCTGCCATCTCCCATTAGTATTTTCATTAGATGTTAGAAACCGTAGTGCCTTCTCCATGGCTTATTGGAATAGCTGAAAATAGGTAGGCCCCTTCAACTTAATGACTATTCAATCCAACGGTCCCCAAGCTTTTGACCTCCAGTGCTGAATGCTTCTTAACTAGTGTTTCTTAGCTTTTTCTTGGTTTTTTTTCTCTCTCGCTTCAGCACGGAAACACACCAAACAGGACTCAAACATGAATGAAGAGTGGAAGAGCATGTTTGGCTCTCAGGAGCCAGCGGCTACAGCACCACAGCCCCCGACGGTACATAACGGGTTAACCTATGATGTCTGTTAGGAATGGGGGGGGGGGGGAAGCGAGGGTTGATTGATAGATATACTAAGTGATTGATTTAATAGCCTGGTCCAGTCTGGTAGTCTATCTTCTATCTCTGTGTACTCCACCAGGTGCCTGAAGGGGCGGGGACTCAGACCAGGAAGAGCACAGCCTCCCCTGGTGTCCCTGTGGGGCAGTCTGCAGGTGCAGTCTCCACCTACCAGCGTCGTCTCAACACGTGCAAGGCGGAACTTCAACATCTGGTGCAGCAGAAGAGGGAGCAGTGCAGCGCAGAGCGCATGGCCAAGCAGATGATGGAGAGCGCTGAATGGGAGAGCCGTCCGCCTCCGCCAGGTAAAGTAGTGCCACTGACACAACATAGGCTAGGCCATAATCACTCCACAAGTGATTCTTTTTTGGTCATTGTATTATTGAATATACCACTAGCGGTGTGTTTCTTGCCAATTTGGATTAAGCACAGCAGAAATGTCAACAAGCAGTAGGGTTAGTCGGGGCCCGTCCACATTGTGTTGTTGTTTTGTTCTGCAGGGTGGCACCCTAAGGGTCTTCTAGTGGCCCACCTCCATGAGCACAAGTCTGCTGTCAACCGTATCCGTGTGTCAGACGAGCACTCCATCTTCGCCACGGCCTCCAACGACGGCACCGTCAAGGTCTGGGACAGCCAGAAGATGGAGGGAAAAACCACCACCACCAGGTATGCTAACCAAGTAGTAACCAATAACCAACCAGTTAACCAAGTAGTAACCAACAACCAACCAGTTAACCAAGTACAGTGAGGGAAAAAAGTATTTGATCCCCTGCTGATTTTGTACGTTTGCCCACTGACAAAGAAATGATCAGTCTATAATTTTAATGGTAGGTTTATTTCAACAGTGAGAGACAGAATAACAACAAAGAAATCCAGAATAACGCATGTCAAAAATGTTATAAATTGATTTGCATTTTAATGAGGGAAATAAGTATTTGACCCCCTCTCAATCAGACAGATTTCTGGCTCCCAGGTGTCTTTTATACAGGTAACGAGCTGAGATTAGGAGCACACTCTTAAAGGGAGTGCTCCTAATCTCAGTTTGTTACCTGTATAAAAGACACCTGTCCACAGAAGCGATCAATCAATCAGATTCCAAACTCTCCACCATGGCCAAGACCAAAGAGCTCTCCAAGGATGTCAGGGACAAGATTGTAGACCTACACAAGGCTGGAATGGGCTACAAGACCATCGCCAAGCAGCTTTGCGAGAAGGTGACAACAGTTGGTGCGATTATTCGCAAATGGAAGAAACACAAAATAACTGTCAATCTCCCTCGGCCTGGGGCTCCATGCAAGATCTCACCTCGTGGAGTTACAATGATCATGAGAACGGTGAGGAATCAGCCCAGAACTACATGGGAGGATCTTGTCAATGATCTCAAGGTAGCTGGGACCATAGTCACCAAGAAAACAATTGGTAACATACTACGCCATGAAGGACTGAAATCCTGCAGCGCCCGCAAGGTCCCCATGCTCAAGAAAGCACATATACATGCCCATCTGAAGTTTGCCAATGAACATCTGAATGATTCAGAGGAGAACTGGGTGAAAGTGTTGTGGTCAGATGAGACCAAAATGGAACTCTTTGGCATCAACTCAACTCGCCGTGTTTGGAGGAGGAGGAATGCTGCCTATGACCCCAAGAACACCATCCCCACCGTCAAACATGGAGGTGGAAACATTATGCTTTGGGGGTGTTTTTCTGCTAAGGGGACAGGACAACTTCACCGCATCAAAGGGACGGGGCCATGTACTGTCAAATCTTGGGTGAGAACCTCCTTCCCTCAGCCAGGGCATTGAAAATGGGTTGTGGATGGGTATTCCAGCATGACAATGACCCAAAACACACAGCCAAGGCAACAAAGGAGTGGCTCAAGAAGAAGCACATTAAGGTCCTGGAGTGGCCTAAATCTGTGGAGGGAGCTGAAGGGTCGAGTTGCCAAACGTCAGCCTCGAAACCTTAATGACTTGGAGAAGATCTGCAAAGAGGAGTGGGACAAAATCCCTCCTGAGATGTGTGCAAACCTGGTGGCCAACTACAAGAAACGTCTGACCTCTATGATTGCCAACAAGGGTTTTGCCACCAAGTACCGTACTAAGTCATGTTTTGCAGAGGGGTCAAATACTTATTTCCCTCATTAAAATGCAAATCAATTTATAACATTTTTGACATGCGTTTTTCTGGATTTTTGTTGTTGTTATTCTGTCTCTCACTGTTCAAATAAACCTACCATTAAAATTATAGACTGATCATGTCTTTGTCAGTGGGCAAACATACAAAATCAGCAGGGGACCAAATACCTTTTTCCCTCACTGTAGTAACCAACAACCAACCAGTTAACCAAGTAGTTGTGGTTGCCTCCCCTATTTTTAGTTGAATGAGAGAGAGAAGAGAGAATGTTTTTTTCAACAGTACAAGTGGCAGCAACATGCTGAATTGTGAGTGCAAAAAAATGATGTTCATCAACTGTTCAGCAGGTGAAGCATGGTTGGGATGGCGCTGCAACCGAAACGCTCAGTCCTGCAGTGGATGAGCTCCAGTTTAGCTAAAGCTGGAATCCGTAGCGGTGAAACTGACACGTCCGTTCGCGATATTACAACAACAAAGACGTTACTTCAAACAACAAACATCGTTTTTTCCCCCTCGGAGATCATTGAATGTCATTGAACGCGCGATAGAACAGCAGATTATGAACTATGATTTTTGTTTACCACGATGCAGGATGCTCCTTTGCCACATTTCAAAAACAATAACAAATGCGCCTGCGGCCACCAGTGGCTCTGTTTCACCTTATGCAGATCTCAGCTTTAAGGAGTGGTTCTGGTGTAGACTTAGACCATCATTGGGGTGGGAGCATATGGCAGAAGGGATCGTATTTTAGAAGTGATCTTACAAAGGATCTCAAGACTTTCTCAGCATGTGTAGAGTGATGGTAGGTCCAGATTGGTGTGTAAAGTGATGGTAGGTCCAGATTGGTGTGTAAAGTGATGGTAGGTCCAGATTGGTGTGTGTAGATGGTAGGTCCAGATTGGTGTGTAAAGTGATGGTTGGTCCAGATTGGTGTGTGTAGTGATGGTAGGTCCAGACTGGTGTGTGTAGTGATGGTAGGTCCAGACTGGTGTGTGTAAGTGATGGTAGGTCCAGATTGGTGTGTGTGATGGTTTAGGTAGGTCCAGATGGTGTGTAGTGATGGTAGGTCCAGACTGGTGTGTGTAGTGATGGTAGGTCCAGATTGGTGTGTGTAGTGATGGTAGGTCCAGATTGGTGTGTAGTGATGGTAGGTCCAGATTGGTGTGTGTAGTGATGGTAGGTCCAGACTGGTGTGTGTAGTGATGGTAGGTCCAGATTGGTGTGTGTAGTGATGGTAGGTCCAGATTGGTGTGTGTAGTGATGGTAGGTCCAGATTGGTGCATTCATCTGAGTAGGTGTTGTGTAAGTGTACCCATCTTTAGATTGTTTAATGTTTCAACTAATTAATCTGGTTGTTATATCCATAACTTTTTATTCTAAGCCAATCAGATGTTTTGTTGACCGTTATGTGTAAATTCCCGCTAGTGGACAATTTCAAGCTGCAAAAGAACTTTGGTGCTGAGGCTAGCCTTAGATATACACATTTCCCAGATATTTTTAGTACCTCTCACATCATTTTACATAAAGTATGATCACTTAAGAGATTCATGTGCTGATATATGCACATGATAGCATATTTCATGAGCATTCATTACTATTTCTTGCCAATTTTTAAAATGTTTTTTTTTTTTAAATGCTAGCAGTCATGCCTGCATTTCACAGTCAAACAGTAGCAACATCATTTGGTGAACTACAACAAGATAATAGATTTCAGGCATTCAAAGCTTATATTTTTAAATCCATTTTATCTTATTTTACTGTTACATTAACCTAGCGTTGTTATACATAGATGCAAATGTTACATTTATCTCAGGTGGGCTTAAAGGGTACAGTAGCACAAAAAGCACTCTCTCTATACAGAATGTAAATTACTAAAAATATATATTGTTCAATATAATCAATACTAACTTTGCATAATATTGTAGTCTATAGTGTATATTTATACCCAAAACCATTGGTCTCCAAATATTTGATGAGTAGACTTTGCTATTTTGTCTTTCACCATAAACCACTGTTCCAATTAAGCCCGGTATGCTCCTATTAACCCCGGTTTGCATTGATACACATGGGGATAGGGTGTTGATATCCCTAATATTCAATGAACATGAGCATAAATATATTTAAGATTTAAGTTGATTAAAACACACAAACTACAGTTATGCATATTGTGTATCTAGCCATGGTGCCTTTACCAAGATGAGAAACAATTAGGAACAATTAGAAACCTCTGTACTCTCTCCAAGACGTTTGGAGTGGACAGGAAGTCATTGATGCAGAGAGAATAGAATAAGACCAGGGTTGAGGGGTATCAGGGGTAGAAGACCTGCAAGTGGTGGACAAAAATGCTAACAAATGAGGGACAAGAAGATTACTATTGGACGACTACTTCTGCACTTTCGGGTGGGAGCATTGTCATTTTGTTGTCTTTCATTCATCCAGGTGATTCCGTTTTTCATTCATCCAGGTGATTCCATCTGTTATGGGTGCTACATCCATTGCTGATCAGTTTATTTTAATAACTTTATGGGAGATTAATATAATCTAATTTTACATAAGAAATGTCTGTTTGGAAGTTTTGAATATTTTGGAAATGAATTAAAATGTATTATTTTAGAGGTGGGCTAATTTGGAACACCCATGGCTTAAAGGGTACACTCAATACCCATTAAGCCCAGTCCGGACTTTGCACATCATTTATAAAAATGTGTATGTATTATATATATATATTTTTAAGTAAAACTTCACATGAGAGATTCATCTTTCATGTTATCTCCACTGTTTGTATAGAAAATGAGGGCAGTATATGTTAGAAATGTCTAAACTTAGATTGTGGTGGGCTTAATAGGGACACACCCTAGTTTAGCTGAGTAGGTGGTGAATACCGTTACCAGGATATAGGAGGTGGATACCGTTACCAGGATATAGGAGGTGAATACCGTTACCAGGATATAGGAGGTGGATACCGTTACCAGGATATAGGAGGTGAATACCGTTACCAGGATATAGGAGGTGAATACCGTTACCAGGATATAGGAGGTGAATACCGTTACCAGGATATAGGAGGTGAATACCGTTACCAGGATATAGGAGGTGAATACCGTTACCAGGATATAGGAGGTGAATACCGTTACCAGGATATAGGAGGTGAATACCGTTACCAGGATATAGGAGGTGAATACCGTTACCAGGATATAGGAGGTGAATAGCGTTACCAGGATATAGGAGGTGAATAGCGTTACCAGGATATAGGAGGTGAATAGCGTTACCAGGATATAGGAGGTGAATAGCGTTACCAGGATATAGGAGGTGAATAGCGTTACCAGGATATAGGAGGTGAATACCGTTACCAGGATATAGGAGGTGAATACCGTTACCAGGATATAGGAGGTGGATACCGTTACCAGGATATAGGTGGTGAATACCGTTACCAGGATATAGGAGGTGAATACCGTTACCAGGATATAGGAGGTGAATACCGTTACCAGGATATAGGAGGTGAATACCTGTTACCAGGATATAGGAGGTGAATACCGTTACCAGGATATAGGAGGTGAATACCCTTAGCAGGATATAGGAGGTGAATACCCTTAGCAGGATATAGGAGGTGAATACCCTTAGCAGGATATAGGAGGTGAATACCCTTAGCAGGATATAGGAGGTGAATACCCTTAGCAGGATATAGGAGGTGAATACCCTTACCAGGATATAGGTGGTGAATACCGTTACCAGGATATAGGTGGTGAATACCGTTACCAGGTCCTCTTTAGGTACAGTGCCTTCAGAAAGTATTCATACCCCTTGACTTTGACCACATTTTGTTGTGTTACAGCCTGAATTCAAAATGTATTAACAATATTTCGGCTCCACACAATACCCCATAATGACGAAGTCAAAACACGTTTTTTTGAGATTTTTGCCAATTTATTGAAAATGAAATACAGAAATATCTCATTTATATTTAACAAAAATATAAACACAACATGCAACAATTTCAAAGATTTTACTGAGTTACCGTTCATAGAAGGGAATCAGTCAATTGAAATACAGTGGGGAAAAAAAGTATTTAGTCAGCCACCAATTGTGCAAGTTCTCCCACTTAAAAAGATGAGAGAGGCCTGTAATTTTCATCATAGGTACACGTCAACTATGAAAGACAAATTGAGATTTTTTTTTCCAGAAAATCACATTGTAGGATGTGTAATTAATTTATTTGCAAATTATGGTGGATAATAAGTATTTGGTCACCTACAAACAAGCAAGATTTCTGGTTCTCACAGACCTGTAACTTCTTCTTTAAGAGGCTCCTCTATCCTCCACTCGTTACCTGTATTAATGGCACCTGTTTGAACTTGTTATCAGTATAAAAGACACCTGTCCACAACCTCAAACAGTCACACTCCAAACTCCACTATGGCCAAGACCAAAGAGCTGTCAAAGGACACCAGAAACACAACTGTAGACCTGCACCAGGCTGGGAAGATTGAATCTGCAATAGGTAAGCAGCTTGGTTTGAAGAAATCAACTGTGGGAGCAATTATTAGGAAATGGAAGACATACAAGACCACTGATAATCTCCCTCGATCTGGGGCTCCACGCAAGATCTCACCCCGTGGGGTCAAAATGATCACAAGAACGGTGAGCAAAAATCCCAGAACCACACGGGGGGACCTAGTGAATGACCTGCAGAGAGCTGGGACCAAAGTAACAAAGCCTACCATCAGTAACACACTACGCCGCCAGGGACTCAAATCCTGCAGTGCCAGACGTGTCCCCCTGCTTAAGCCAGTACATGTCCAGGCCCGTCTGAAGTTTGCTAGAGTGCATTTGGATGATCCAGAAGAGGATTGGGAGAATGTCATATGGTCAGATGAAACCAAAATATAACTTTTTGGTAAAAACTCAACTCGTCGTGTTTGGAGGACAAAGAATGCTGAGTTGCATCCAAAGAACACCATACCTACTGTGAAGCATGGGGGGTGGAAACATCATGCTTTGGGGCTGTTTTTCTGCAAAGGGACCAGGACGACTGATCCGTGTAAAGGAAAGAATGAATGGGGCCATGTATCGTGAGATTTTGAGTGAAAACCTCCTTCCATCAGCAAGGGCATTGAAGATGAAACGTGGCTGGGTCTTTCAGCATGACAATGATCCCAAACACACCGCCCGGGCAACGAAGGAGTGGCTTCGTAAAAAGCATTTCAAGGTCCTGGAGTGGCCTAGCCAGTCTCCAGATCTCAACCCCATAGAAAATCTTTGGAGGTAGTTGAAAGTCTGTGTTGCCCAGCGACAGCCCCAAAACATCACTGCTCTAGAGGAGATCTGCATGGAGGAATGGGCCAAAATACCAGCAACAGTGTGTGAAAACCTTGTGAAGACTTACAGAAAACGTTTGACCTGTGTCATTGCCAACAAAGGGTATATAAGTATTGAGAAACTTTTGTTATTGACCAAATACTTATTTTCCACCAACATTTGCAAATAAATTCATTAAAAATCCTTTAATGTGATTTCTGGATTTTTTTTCTCATTTTGTCTGTCATAGTTGACGTGTACCTATGATGAAAATTACAGGCCTCTCTCATCTTTTTAAGTGGGAGAACTTGCACAATTGGTGGCTGACTAAATACTTTTTTTCCCCACTGTACATTCATTAGGCCCTAATCTATGGATTTCACATGACTGGGCAGGGGCGCAGCCATGAGTGGGCCTGGGAGGGCATAGGCCCACCCACTAGGGAGCCAGGCCCAGCCAATCGGAATTCGTTTTTCCCCACAAAAGGGCTGTATTACAGACAGAAATATTCCTCAGCACTCAAGACTCAAGACATTTCAGCTTTTCATTTTGAATTAATTAAAACAAAATTCTAAAAACAGAATTCCACTTTGACATTATGGGGTATTGTGTGTTGGACAGTGACACAAAATCTTAATTTAATACATTTTAAATTCAGGCTGTATCACAACAAAATGTGGAAAAAGTCAAGGGGTGTGAATACTTTCTCAAGGTACTGTATATGTAGGTGTTTAAGGCGTCGGAGGAGGAACAGACATCAGCTCGCCTTTTCACAGATGTGCTCTACCGGTGTTGACCATCTTAGATTTCCTTGGAATGCACTCTGGATAAGAGCTTCGCTCTGGATAAGAGCATCTGCTATAAATGACCAAAACGTTGATGGAAAAAGTAATGAACAACAGGCCTCAATCCAACCTGTGTGAATGTTTTGATGCTGTTTTATAGGTCAGTGCTGACGTACTCTCGCATCGGGGGCCACGTGAAGACGTTGACCTTCTGTCAGGGGTCACATTACCTGGCTGCTGCCTCAGACAACGGTTCCATCCAGCTCCTGGCCATTGAGGCCAACAAGCCTCCCAAATCACCCAAGGTTAACCCCTTTCAGACCAGGTATGTACTACCCATCAGGTGTTTATGATGCATAAAGATGGTTTTATTTACTGTAGTTTATATAATTATAATTATTATTTATTGGCATTATATAGCGCTTTTCTACGAACTGAGGTACTCCAAGCGCTTTACATAGTAAGGGGGAAAACTCACCTCATCCACCACCAATGGACTTGCAGTATCATGTAGTTATCATGATCATGCCGTATCATTTAGATGCCACAGTGTAATAATTAGTTAGTTATAACTACACAGTAACTGTTATATCGACTGTCCTCTCAGGTTCCTGGACCAGAAGGATGACGGCTGCGTGGTGGACGTCCACCATTTTAATTCTGGAGCCCAGTCTGTGCTGGCCTACGCCACGGTGAACGGCTCCCTGGTGGGCTGGGACCTGCGCTCCAACTCCAACGCCTGGACCCTCCGCCACGACCTCCGACTGGGCCTTATCACCTCCTTCACCGTGGACATGCACCAGTGCTGGCTCTGCCTAGGTACGTGGGTGTTGGTGTGAGCACGTGGGTGGATGTGGGTCGTGTGTGGTGCATGTCGTGTGTATGAAAAATGTAAATGAATTTAGTCTGAAAACCGTATTGTACTTAAACAGAGTTGTGACTTATCTGACATGCATTTATCAGGAGTCAACTGAATCCTATTCTGATTATTCCACACACAGGTACAAGCAGCGGCACTATGGCATGCTGGGACATGCGGTTCCAGCTCCCCATCTCAAACCACTCCCACCCTGCCCGAGCACGAATCAGACGGCTGCTCATGCACCCGCTCTACCAATCCTCCGTCATCGCTGGTGAGACTCGATGTCATCATATTTTTTATCTTTATTAACAAAACTCAACTTTTTGGGGTCTTTCTTTGAGGGGAAATTCAAACTATTATTTGTGTATTTTGTTGCTGTTTTGTAGCAGTCCAGGGCAACAATGAGGTATCCATGTGGGACATGGAGACTGGGGACAGGAAGTTCACGCTGTGGGCCAGCTCTGCTCCCCCTCTCTCAGAGATGCAGCCGTCCCCCCACAGTGTCCATGGGATCTACTGCAGCCCTGCAGACGGGAACCCCCTCCTCCTCACAGCCGGCTCCGACATGAGAATCAGGTATGGTTGCTATACTCTTGACTGGACTAACCATCCTTCTGATATATTTAACCCAGTTTTGACCACATATGTTTACCGGATGACATTTTAAGTTTGTGTTTGATGATGTGGCTTAGCCAAGAAGTGTGTTGGAATACGTTTGCTTTTTTTGTTGTGAGTTAAGTCTTTTTTCTATACTGTGTGTGTGTGTGTGTGTTTATTCCCAGGTTCTGGGACTTGGCCTACCCAGAGAGGTCCTACATCGTGGCAGGTGGAGCCAATGAACCGCTGCACTGTCCCTCAGTCCTCTACAGCCGCAAGATCATCGAGGGCACCGAGGTTGTACAGGTATGCCCTGATAGGACGGCGGCGGTGTATTCAGTGTATTCCTCTAAGCACCTGGTCCTACAATGAGGTGTTCAATACAGAATCTTTGTCGCCGGAGAGCAATTAATTTGCAGCATTATAAACCTGTATGACTAAGAAACAACAGACCGGTAGAGATTGACCTACATTCCCTGTCCTGTCATTCCCTGCAGGAGATCCACAGCAAACAGAAGAGTGGAGCCACAGAGGACACCCCGCGCAGGGGCCCCGAGTCCCTCCCCGTGGGCCACCATGACATCATCACTGACATCGCCACCTTCCAGACCACACAGGGCTTCATCGTCACTTCGTCCAGAGACGGCATCGTCAAAGTCTGGAAATAAACTGCCGCTTTCAGGCCCTCCCACTCTCGCTGCCACACACACACACACACACACACACACACACACACACAACCACACACTAGCCCTCAACATCTTCACCCCAGAGTTTTGATCTACTGTTGTAGACTTTTGTACATAGTATATTTTAAAGCTAATTAATATAAGAGAAGCTTCTAGAAATCCTGTCGCAAAATATGAGTAGATGTTAACACTTTGTTTGTAATGACATTCACTAAAGTCACAATTATGCAATGCCTGATATCTATTTGTTAAACTGCTCAAAAGCAACTGTTCAAGAAGTGTCAATAAAGTTTGGTATGATGAATGAACCCTTTATGAACTACTACTAAACTCAGCAAAAAAAGAAACGTCCCTTTTTCAGGACCCTGGCTTTCAAAGATCATTTGTAAAAATCCAAATAACTTCACAGATCTTCATTGTAAAGGGTTTAAACACTGTTTCCCATGCTTGTTCAATGAACCATAAACAATTAATGAACATACACATGTGGAACAGTCATTAAGACACTAACAACTTACAGATGGTAGGCAATTAAGGTCACGGTTATGAAAACGTAGGACACTAAAGAGGCCTTTCTACTGAAAAACACCAAAAGAAAGATGCCCAGGGTCCCTGTTCATCTGTGTGAACGTGCCTTAGGCATGCTGCAAGAAGGCATGAGGACTGCAGATGTGCCAGGGCAATACATTGCTGTACTGTGAGACGCCTAAGACAGCGCTACAGGGAGACAGGACTGACGGCTGATCGTCCTCACAGTGGCAGACCACGTGTAACAACATGATAGATTAATTATTAATGACTAATTATTACACCCTGAAACTGTGTATAATGTGTTAGAAATGTGTGAGTGTAGGACCAGTAAAGGCTATGGCATTGAGCCACTATTTAGCAATGTGAGTAAGAGTTAGGCCAGACAACAAAGGACAAGGAGAACTGTCTACAGACAACTGAGAAACTAAGATAAAGAGGCCTCCCAATTTAGGGAGGGGAGAAACTGTTATGAAAACATGGTGCAGAATATTGTGAGAACGGCAATAACTGAGTAATGCAGGGAGTAGGCTGTGTGTGTGTGTGTGTGTGTGTGTGTGTGTGTGTGTGTGTGTATGCATGTGTGTATATGTGTGTGTGAACTGATGGTCAGGAGAGCAGTTTTAGAGTGGAAAACTACAGCCCGCCTACAGAGGGGAGGGATTTTTTTGTATGAGTATAAAAGATGGACTCTGAAATTGTGATGGCAGAATTCTCAATGAATAAATATCTCTGACTATGCAGACTGGGACTCTGTCCGTTACTTAAATCCCAAAATACTTACAACCTTTTGGGAGACGCACAGAGACACTGAAATAGTTTGTTAAATAATTCACGTAACACAACACCTGCACAGGATCGGTACATCCGAACATCACACCTGCGGGACATGTACAGGATGGCAACAACAACTGCCTGAGTTACACCAGGAACGCACAATCCCTCCATCAGTGCTCAGACTGTTCGCAATAGGCTGAGAGAGGCTGGACTGAGGGCTTGTAGGCCTGTTGTAAGGCAGGTCCTCACCAGACATCACCGGCAACAACGTCGCCTATGGGCACAAACCCACCGTCGCTGGACCAGACAGGACTGGCAAAAAGTGCTCTTCACTGACGAGTCGCGGTTTTGTCTCACCAGGGGTGATGGTCGGATTCGCGTTTTATCGTCGAAGGAATGATCGTTACACCGAGGCCTGTACTCTGGAGCGGGATCGATTTGGAGGTGGAGGGTCCGTCATGGTCTGGGGCGGTGTGTCACAGCGTCATCGGACTGAGCTTGTTGTCATTGCAGGCAATCTCAACGCTGTGCGTTACAAGGAAGACATCCTCCTCCCTCATGTGGTACCCTTCCTGCAGGCTCATCCTGACATGACCCTCCAGCATGACAGTGGCACCAGCCATACTGCTCGTTCTGTGCGTGATTTCCTGCAAGACAGGAATGTCAGTGTTCTGCCATGGCCAGCGAAGAGCCCAGATCTCAATCCCATTGAGCACATCTGGGACCTGTTGGAACGGAGGGTGAGGGCTAGGGCCATTCCCCCAAGAAATGTCCTGGAACTTGCAGGTGCCTTGGTGGAAGAGTGGGGTAACATCTCACAGCAAAAACTGGCAAATCTGGTGCAGTCCATGAGGAGGAGATGCACTGCAGTACATAATGTAGCTGGTGGCCAGACCAGATACTGACTGTTACTTTTGATTTTGACCCCCCTCCCCTCCCCCCCCTTTGTTCAGGGACACATTATTCCATTTAATGTTAGTCACATGTCTGCAATTTGTTCAGTTTATGTCTCAGTTGTTGAATCTTGTTATGTTCATACAAATATTTACACATGTTAAGTTTGCTTAAAATAAACGCAGTTGACAGTGAGAGGACATTTCTTTTTTTGCTGAGTTTATGTGTGTCTGTGAGACCCCTTCAGATTATTAACACGCAGTATCACAAACAAACAGTAGACTGACAGGACCTATTCTCATGCCCCGTGGGAGCAACTGCCTTGGTAACACTGTGTGACATGACAACGCTGTCGTAATTGCAATTGGAGATGGAAACTCTTGTGACGTGTGTGTGTGTGTGTGTGTACGTTTGCATATGGTTGTGTGTGTGTGAGACACTTCCAGACTCGGTTCGATGACTGTGTGGCACCAGCGAGAATACACACTCCCACGGGTCATGCACGGCTAAATTGGGCTGAGAAGATGTGACACATTATTCAATTTCTGTTAGTCACATGTCTGTGGGACTTGTTCAGTTTATGTCTCAGTTGTTGAGTCTTGTTATGCTCATACAAATATTTACACATGTTAAGTTTGCTGAAAATAAACGCAATTGAAAGTGAGATGACGTTTCCTTTTTTTGCTGAGTTTATGAACTCTACAGTATTTATTTAGCACTATTGTCTTCTCTCATAGTCTCAAAGTTGTAACGTTAACAAACCAGGCCATGACCAGGACGGAAACCAACCCTTGGCATGAACAGTGTCCACATTCTCAAAGCTGTCACAAGTTTTATTTGTATATCAAAACAAAACACACATATCCATTCATGGCAGGATTAATGCATGGGCTTACTGGGGCTGAAGCCCCTAGACCCAATAGGCAGTTTTTTAAAAAGAAATAAGGAAATATAAGAGCATCAAAAATAAACTGACCGCTAAGGAATTTGTGCAGTTTTATTTTCAACACTTAGCACCAAATGGTCAAGTTAGAGGAAACAGACACTGAGCGGATGACATACAACCTGAATTTACAGCTACGGTTCACATCCAAGCTCCAGAAGTGAACAGTGCATTGCCTTTCATAGTGGGATTATTAAGAACCCTTGCTATGATCGGAGTGGTGCTTGAGTTGGTTTGGTAGCTGTTGATCTGTGAAATGATGGTGGAAAATAGCACCAAGGGGTCATACAGGTTGTTTTATTGCTGTAAGGTCATTCTCACAAAAGCATCAGTGCCCTTATGTATGTTTGTTTCATGACTACATGAGATTCAAATTCGTTACTTAGGTCTGCTTGAACAGACTTGAATAAAATAGAAAAATATAAATTTTTACCCAAAAGGAGAACAACTAAATGCTAAAGATAAGGCCTAGAGTTATTTACACAGACAGTGCTGTTTTTGATGTTCACACCTTCAGCTCTATTCAGGGTTTTAGATGTGTGGAGTTGTGCCTTTTAACGCTGTCTCCTCAGACAGAGGCCTTCGCAAGCCTCCTGCGTCTCGAAGCGGTTACCGTTGCCGCCACAGCCGCCATACCAGAAACGGGAGCACTCGCTCTGTGTCGTGTCAAAGTACCACTTCAGAGTGTAGTTCTGACAACCTCCCTCGTCCTGTTTGAGGAAACATGCATCTGGGGAAGAGGAGGGAGAGGTAACGGGGCAAAGGAGAGAAATGGGAGAGGATTCAGGGGGGGAAAAAAGAGAGAGGGGAAAGGAAAAGAGAGGGGGATAGGAAAGAGAGAGGAGAGAGGAAAGAGAGAGGGGAGAGGAAAGAGAGAGGAAAGAGAGAGGGGAGGGAACGAAGATGAGAGAGGAAAGACTCGGATCTCTCCGCGGACGAGATTCCTTCGAAACCGTTGCCAATAGCTCCACGTGAAAGATAGGGAAGGCAGAGATGTGGGAAAACCCCTAGAGGGAGAAGAGGCGGGAGAGAAACCGGTCTCGGAAAAGATGGAAGCCCTGAGCGAGGTGGAGAAAAGGAGGGAGAGGAAAGAAGAGGGGTTTTCTCTGTCCGGACCTCCCCCGCATACTTCTCTCCCCCTAGGACTTGGCGTACCCCTCTCTTCTCCCACCTACCTTTTACCTCCCCCCCTCTTTCTCTCCCCTTCTTCCTGAAAAGATAGGAGGGATTATCCCCTATTCGGACTAGAGAGGCATTAGGAGAGATTCGTAGCACACCCTTGAAATACTCTAGTCCCTCTCTTTCGCGCGGCAGCGGGCAGAGAGAGGTGAGAGGAAAGAGAGAGGGGAGAGGAAAGAGAGAGGAGAGAGGACAAAGCCAAAGGTTGAGACTCATGCCTTTTACACTATTGTACAGACCCAAGCCTGCTGTATTTTCACATTTATTATTGCATACAAAATTAGAGAGAGATGTGGTCCTTACCCTGGTTAAGAAGTGTACTTTCCTCTGTCCTCAGGAGGGATGCGTGATCTGTGAACACAGAACATTATAAATCTCTGACGTAGTGCTGTGAATGATGAGCTCGCAGCTGACACGACAACAAGACACAACATGACAACTAAAAAAATGGCATCAAACCTTGAGTCATTTCATTTCTGTAATTGCCATACTGCTTAAACAAGGTTTATTACAGTCGCTAATGTTAGGGGTTCAGCTCATTAGAATTCTCTTGACTGAAAGCATCCTGATTTGAGAATGCAAATGGAATAACTAGTGTCCTCTTCTCATGCAGAATGCATTATGTACTTCAGCATTTGACCAACAGTACAACAGCCTTTGTAATTCAGGTTGTGCCTAACAGACCTTTATATCTATGATATCCACATGATGTTCAGTAGAGGTGGTAGCAGTAGAGGGCTGGGGTGACTTACTGTAAGTGCCACACATCTCGAAGCATTCGTTTTCCGTGCTAAAACGGTTGGCGTTACCGTCGCAACCGCTGTACCAGAAGGGTGAGCATGCACCGAGCACTTTGTTAAAGTGCCATCACTGGGCATAGTCCCCGCAGTTGGTGCCACTATCGACATCCAACTTACAGTGGGCTGAAAGCAGAACAAGCGGGTTTGTAAACGGGGAAGGAAGACATGCAGCACGCGGTCGCAAACTGAGACTACTCATGCAGTGGGATAAGAGGGGACACGTGAGGGAGAGAGAAATAGAAGTTATGTTATAACTGTGGGGTTACTGATTACCATTTGAGTTTGGCTGTGGCCGGGGGGGTGAAGTGGCTCCATCTCCCCTGGAGAAGGCATGTATAAGGTCAACCTGGTCAAGAGCTGTCTGAGTCTGAAATACACCTGTGTGCTCCAGGAACTCCCCCTGCTTCGTATCCATGTCCTCCTCCTCATCCTCTGTCCCCACCTCCCACTCTGCCTGTCCTTGTCCCTGTCCCTGTCCATGTCCCTGTCCGTGTTCCTGTCCTTGTCCCTGTCCATGTCCCTGTCCATGTCCCTGTCCGTGTCCGTGTCCGTGCCCATGTCCCTGTCCGTGTCCGTGTTCCTGTCCTTGTTCCTGTCCCACCATCAGCTCACAATTGAGTTTGAGATGGGCAGGAGGGTAGCTGTTCATTCCCTCTGAAATAGTGTGGGAGGAGTGAGAGCATTAGGACACACGGTAGCACACACAACAACAACTCATTGATCAGAACACATGTTCAAATGTATGATCTGTTCTGGCATAATTATCTCTCCCTCAAGAGACAACCAGATGAAGAAGCATGTTAGTGTTCCTTACTGCTGAGGACCCTGAGGAAGGCTCTGAAGAAGCGTTGTGCGTAGCCTCTCTCCCACTCCTTCACGTGCCACAGATGGAGCAGGTGCTGCTCTGACGGCGTGCTCGCCAACTCCTCCACCTGGGTGCTGTTGTAATGGTCGCCCACCGTGATCACAAACAGGGAAACGCCCTTACACTTGGCCTTCTTGGAAATGTAGGCCAGCTTGGCCTGGTCCCAGTCGGCTGTCTCGGCCCCCACCACAGCCAGCACCACTCTACTCTTCCTGGGCCTGGTGGCCTTGAGGAACACCTCGGTCAGAGCGTACTCCAGGGTCTGCCCCAGAGACGACACTCCTCCCTGCTGCTGCATGTTCCTCAGGTGTGTCTCTAGACTGATGTGGTTGTGATACTTCTGCAGGTCAAACTCTACCTTGACGGCTTGGGTCAGGGAAGTCTGGGGGAGCAGAGAGCCACTGGTCTGGAGAAGTGCCACCCTGGCACGGCCGTCAGCGACGCCGGGTTTGGGGCTCCAGGCTACTTGCTTCACCACTGAGCCCAGAAGCTCCTGGACACCAGCGTACTGGTCGGCCCGGATCTCCCTTGAACCGTCCACCACCAGGGTCAGGTCCATATCCACCACCAGGGGCAGCTGAGCATCAGTAAAGTCACACTCCTGGGCTGGTTTACAGTGGTCTGATGGACACACAGAACCAGAGCTTAGAGATAGTAGTAGTAGTAGTAGCAGTAGTAGCAGTAGTAGCAGTAGTAGTAGTAGTAGTAGAAAACAGTATTATTTATGCCCAAGGGGAACATTGGTTCTACAGCAGAATTAACCATAAGAGCAAGACATACATCGACACCAAATAAGACTAAAGTTTCTGTGCTTCAACTGCTGGAATAAAGTAATTCAAAGGGAAATATTTTGTCCCTGTGTGTTTACCGTAGCAGATGACGCAATCTTTGATTCTTGTCAGCACAGCATTTTGGTCCTGTGACCTATCCACCAGCCGAACAAGGATGAAGCTGCCCGTGTCATCAGCCTGCGCCACAACAAAACAAAAACACACATGGGCTGCATTTCAATCCACCAACCTTTCTACTGCCCCTGTTCACTACCCCTTCCCAGAAAGCATCTGTTTGTAATTGTACCTCAAAAGCCCGTTGAACATCGGGGGCGTTCCTCATGGCGATGACAGCAGGAGCGATGTTCAGGGCCTTGAACTCCATGGCGGCCGTAACGATGGCAGCGCTGTCCACAGAGGGCCCGTTGGTGAAGAACACGGCCACCTTCCTCATCGTCAACGCTTTACGGATCCGCTTGAAGACATGGCGCCCCACGAAGCGCATGGCCGCCCCAAGATGGCGCCGGTTGGACGTTCGTTCCAGTGCGATGTTTCGGATGGCCTCCAACAACTCCCACTTGTGTTGGAAGTCCTGGAATCGGATCAGGTACTTGGTGTTGGCACTGTAGGATACCACGGCAACACGTGCACCCGTCGGGCAGTTGCTCTCGGCGATGGCAACATCGTCCAATAGGGAGAGGAGAGCTGAGCGCATCCTCTCGAACGCGGCAGGCTGCACATCCTGTGACATATCCAGAGCAAAGACCAGCTCTGTGGGGTAGGCTGGGCATGCTGCCTGGCCTGGGTAAGAGAGAGAAAGGGAGGGAGAGAGGTACAGAGAGAGAGAAGGAGAGAGAAGGGGAAAGAGGGACAGAGAGAGGGGGTGAGGGGGCAGTGGTAGGGAGATGAAAAACAACTATTTTGAATGACAACCATTCATAACATCACTTTGCCAAGAGTTCTGGTTTGATTACACCAGAATCTACAGTCAATGTGCAATAAGTCAGGTACATACATTTACTTGGACGATAAAGGGTTAATGGAGACATACCTTGAGAGCATGCTGTTTGGGGGGAAAAAATATAATCGTTTAGAGACAAAATTAGCAATTAATTCATCTTTGCTTATGAAAACATGACCTTAGCAGCAATAATGCAATTGACACAGCTGATATTTTTCTTACAAAAAATATAGAGTAGGAATACATTTACATTTGAGTCATTTAGCAAACGCTCTTATCCAGAGCGACTTACAGTTAGCGAGCGCATACATTTTCATACTGAATACCAAGGGCTTACCACAGTTGTCACGGATATAGGTGGTCAGCTGGCATTCCTAGGGAGACAAATAAAATAACATGTTAAATAGCTCTCAAGATTCTCTATATAAAAAAGATATAGTTACATCTTTAGATCAGACAGAATGCACATACAGACATTGCGCTCTCTCCTGGTCTGCCTCTAGGGCCCTAAATAGAAATAGAGAATTAGTCATAAATCCACATGTAAACAGTGAATATCTTACCAATACTTTTACTGGAATAACAACCAATACTAGAACTACTATTATTATTCTTTTGAAACAAATAATAATAATTACAAAAAAAGAATACATGGGATTTGTAAAGTGCTTTTTAAAGATCAAAAAACGCAAATGATATACTAACAGTGTGTCCCAGTGGTCCAATGGATCCGGGGTCTCCTGACTCACCCGATCTGCCCGAGTTCCCCTGGTTCAATCACATCGTAACATATGGCCATTTTAACAGAAGATTTTATACATGTCAACACATACAAGTACCTGTGGCCCAAGTGAAAATCACAAGGTTTGAAGTATAACCCCTCAGAATCTAAGCAGTGGTGTTAGAATCTCTGTTCTTGGGTCAAAGAGTACATATGTGTGAGTATATACAGTTCTGGGGGTGATACTTTATTTGGTTAGTCCCAAGAAGGTAGTTTGTAGATGGTTTGTAGATATTCAATAACTGTCAACAACAAATCAACTAACTATCCACTAACCCTAGCCTTAACCCTTACCCTAACCCTTATTCTAAACCTAACCCTTACCCTAACTGTAACCTTAGCAAGCAGTTGGTTATCAACATATAGTTTGTTGATAGTAGGACCATCTGTAGAGCATTTACACTGAGTGTACAAAACATTAAGGACACCTTGCTAATATTGAGTTGCACCCCCACCATTTTGCCATTAGAACACCCTCAATTCTCCTCCCTTTCATCTACACTGATTGAAGGTGATTTAACAAGTGACATCAATAAGGGATCATAGCTTTCACCTGGATTCACCTGGTCAGTCTACGTCATGGAAAGAGCAGGTGTCCTTAATGTTTTGTACACTGGGACTATCCAAATAAAGTGTGACTGTTCTGGGCACTAAAAACGTAGCCGTATTGGCTGAACAATTGCAGCAATGCATGTGAAACAGGGCGCTCTTGGGTCTTCTAGCAATAGTGTGTGTCTCACCGCTCTGCCTTGGTTTCCTTTGGGGCCTGGACCTCCTTTGACTCCAAAATCACCATTTTCACCCTGAAGACGACAAACAGGAAAAAAGGTGTTGTTTACTTTTTGTGAGCTTCAGAATGCAATGTGTCATGACTGAATTCCAGCCTGGTTCTCTTATTCATTCTGAAAGTGGAGATTTTAAATCAATAACTGACCTGTAATCCAGGGTAACCATGGAAACCAGGCTCTCCCTTTAAAGTAAACACAATTCACAAGGAATGATTTATTAGTGTCCATCAAACATGTCTGTAATACAAATCTACTGTATATTAAAATCCTTTCATTTGGATGAAAAGACAATAGGCAGAATCTACCTCAGAACCAGATCTGATTAGTGAAGGTGCTGGAGGAAAAAGGAAAAACTAGAGAAATAGGAAAAAGTCTCTGCAGACTTCCAGTCAGATGCAAATGTATTTCATGTAGCTAAGCTTTCGGTCGTCGACCTTCATTTGGATGAAAATATACATTTTATTTTATAATCTACAAAGTACATTTACAAACTTTTCCAATTGCTCCAAAGTGGAAACAATGCACTCATCAACTACTATTATGTCTACTGACAGCTGCTGTTGATCTGAGTACTGAGTAAGTGTACCTTACCTTCATTCCCTGGGGCCCGGGAGGTCCATGACCATCACTGCCATCAAGACCCTTTATCAAAGGAAACACACCATCACGTCCCATTCTTACATGACCTTACAAACACACCACAGTCTTACAGTGTGTATATGCGTGTATGTGTGCGTGCAGGTAAAGTGTGTAATGACAAGGCAACACCTTACCGGCATCCCTCTGGGCCCAAGTGTTCCAAGGGCTCCTTTGTCTCCGGGGTCCCCAGGTTGGCCCTGTGAGGAAACCACACAGCATTGGGTTGGAAGAAGGGCTATAAAACATTATTTTACAGGCATTTTTTTTATGTATAATTCTTTTGTGTCTATATATAGTAAGTTTCAGTTGCACTGCAGCTCTGGTAACAAATTGTCCTACCAAGATGGCTAATGTTTTGTATTGTAAACTGTATTTACAAAGGTCAAAGGCAACGCACCTTCTGTCCATTCATCCCTCGCCTTCCTATGGATCCTTTACCACCAATAGTTCCAGGTGTCCCCTGAGGGAAAAGCCATTCATACGCCATCATTACATGTCAACATCGCATAACAGTAGGATCTACGTATCAGGCATCTTCAATGTGGTCAGATGGAATGGAAGTAGAACGGTAGGAAAACTGACCTGAGGTCCAGGTAAACCCTGCAGGCCCCTGGGTCCGGGCTGGCCCAAGTCTCCTCTTATACCCTATGCACACAGGAGAGAAACATGTTCAGCAACTGTATCTGTGATACTGGGAGGACAGTTTCAAATGCTACAGAAGTGCATCAGTAGTAGTATTACTGTGGAGTTGTGGATGAGGGGAATGGGTATATATTACTTACCTGTGGTCCAGAAGGGCCAGGAATTCCTGGGAGTCCTACATCTCCTGGATCACCTGGTGTTCCCTGGACACACACACACACACACAAAGAACATACAAATGGGGACATAAATATAGATAGATAGTAATCCTAGGGACTGTTATTCATGAAGTAGCTTTGTTGATAATGCTGCCTACTGTACCTTTGGACCAGGTAGACCTCTTCTTCCTTGAGGGCCCTACAAAGCAGAAGATGGGACATAATCATCACGTGACAATTGACCAAAAATGTGAGACAACATCAGTGTAACAGGACAAGGACAGCTTAGCAGAAATGAAACTTGGCTCACTGGGTTTCCAACGATTCCACTTTCTGCTCGACGGCCCTCTTCTCCTGGGTCTCCCTGTCAGTGTGGAATGGAAGATGAGAGAGAAAGGGAGTGTGTTTGAGGGAGAGAGAGGATGTGAATAACAGCAGTGTTATCACCCTCCGGGATGGTAAGTGAATAATCCTGCTTTACTCACTAGAAAGAGACAGTTAAACTGATCTGGTACATGCAAATGAACTTGGTGAATAAGTGATTCTGATTCTTAGATCAGTACATTGACAGTGGCCAACTACATGCCAACTACATGCTACATACCAACTACATGCTTCATACCAACTACATGCTACATACCAACTACATGCTACATACCGGTAACCCTGTGTTTCCCCTTCCTCCTTTGGGACCCGCGACAATGCTGTCCACGCCAGAGTCTCCCTAAAAGACCAGAGACTAACCTTAAGTAGCAGTTAGAAAACAAGATATAGAAACACTGCATTCGTTAGTCTAAACCACGTGGCAAACTCATTCCAAACTCATTCCAAACTCATTCCGAGTGTCTGCGGGTTTTCGCTCCTCCCTTGTACTTGATTGATGAATTAAGGTCACTGATTAGTAAAACAAACTCCCCTCACCTGGTCTTAATTGAAAGGAAAAACTTAAAACAAGCAGGCTCTAAGCCCTAAACCATCTTAAATCATTTGCACTGTTAAATGGGGTCCATGTTTTATGTAACTTACAGGGTCACCTCTAAGTCCACGCTGCCCCTTCACTCCTGGCTCTCCTAGGAGGCCGCTGTTGCCCTGCAAGAGAACCCACCATCAAAAGGTTAGACATTAGAGAAGAGAATCGAGGAAGAGTAGGATATTGGTGACATAGGAGAATGATATTAGTGACATAGGAGTAGTATATTGCTGACATAGGAGTAGTATATCGGTGACATAGGAGTAGTATATCATTGACATAGGAGTAGTATATTGGTGACATAGGAGTAGTATATCAGTGACATAGGAGTAGTATATTGGTGACATAGGAGTAGTATATCAGTGACATAGGAGTAGTATATTGGTGACATAGGAGTAGTATATCAGTGACATAGGAGCAGTATATTCGTGACATAGGAGTAGTATATTGGTGAAATATATGAGAGGATGTGTTTACTGGGCTTCCTGGGTTTCCTCTCTCTCCTGCAGCTCCAGCTGTTCCAATCAGACCCTGTTCACCATCAACCCCATCAAGACCATGGTCTCCATCATCACCCTGCCATGGTAATGTGCACACTGATTCAGAACACACTCAGCAACAGCAAACACTTACATCCACACAATGAAAAAAAAAGCACCATGGTGAACCTGGTTTTCCATCGGTAAAGACAAAATACCTAGTAAACTGCAGCTAGAAAGGTTTATACTGTACACTACATTTAGCTGTGTGAATGTGGTATCAACAGCCTCATACACTTACCCTGTTCCCTCTGTAGCCTCTTGAGCCCTGTAAAAAAGCAGAGTCAGAGATCAGATTAGATGGGATTATTTTAGACAGGTAACTCCCCCGCATCATGGTTCAGAGATCAGATTAGATGGTATTATTTTAGATATGTAACTGCCCCGCGTCATGGTTCAGAGATCAGATTAGATGGAATTATCTTGGACAGGTAACTGCCCCGTGTCATGGTTCAGAGATCAAATTAGATGGGATTATCTTGGACAGGTAGCTGCCCCGTGTCATGGTTCAGAGATCAGATTAGGTGGGATTATTTTAGACAGGTAACTGCCCTGTGTTATGGTTCAGATTAGATGGGATTATCTTGGACAGGTAACTGCCCTCGGGTCATGGTAATCTGTGATCTAAAAGCAGATGTTGGGAAGACATCCAATGGGAAACATTCCAGACCTGACAGTCTATAAACATAGATTTTTGGTTGGTCAGTAGTCCATCTGCTCACCTTGAGGCCTCTCCTCCCAGGACAGCCCTGTAGTCCCTGTGGGCCAGTGGGACCTGGTGGACCTCTCTCGCCCTGTGGGGAATCAGAGAGCGAGGACAAGGGTCATTGGTTTAAAGGTCAAAGGTCACATGTTATTAAACTGACTTGTAGACCTTGCCCACCATCCACAACTCATATGTTTTGATTTGTCAGATGTCTGAATAACACACTGACAATTATTCTTCCCTCCCTGAAAACACACACTTACAATTCCCCCCTCCTCGCCAGGGAAGCCAGGGTGTCCTTTTGGTCCTGGCTGACTCTGTTAGGAGAGAAACGAAGAGCAAATAAGGAAACTGAAACTGGCAAAGGGAGGACTGAGGAAGTACATACACCCACATCTTCTTTACAGTATATCAACAGTGTTCACTTACTGTGTCACGTCACATCTAAAACACTGTATCATTTTTTAAAGAAGGCTCAGAGGGCCTCACCTTTGTGCCTGGGCCTCCTCTGTTGCCACGGATACCTTCATGTCCGGTGCACTTACACATCACATTACAGCACTCCCTCTCAGCCACTGTGTCCTGGGGGCAGAAAGAGGGGGAGAGAAAGAGAGAGAATAAGACGTGTTATGAAATCCAATATGTCATTTGTTGACATACCCTCATAATTGGAGACACCTTTGGAGGCACTCATCTCAAAAGCCAATCTAAAAACTACCACTAATGTCACTGCTCTGTTTTGCCTGTCTCCAGTGGCTTCTGTTGCTAAGTGACAACTCTATTTCATGGGGTTCTATGTCCCATTTCCCATGATCGCAGAGTTCTAGTTTTGATACTTCCATCCTGACATGCTGAAACAGGAACACAATTCATTTCTGTCATTTCTGACATCCTGACATCCTTCAACAACATCACTTAATCCCCTTTTCTAAACCAAACATTTGTCATTGTACAGTATGACCCAAAATACTCAGACATATCAGAAATACTTTTCTATCCCTAAGGCTGGGGATATGACTGGAAATAGAATTACTGTAGATAGAGACATAAAGGACTTACATGTCAGCCCAAAGAGTCTTAGCCAGTCTAAGTGACATACAGTATTACTAGAACACAGGGAGACACAACTAAAAGGGTTGTTCTGATTCTGTTGTCACAAAATGATGAACTTACTATTTGTGTCAACAGGGTGTTTCCCACATTGTGCATGCCTATGTTGAGTGGCTGCTTGTAGCCAAATCCTCGCCCAAACTCCACCATCTGAAGAAGGTTGGCATTTTGGACCCCTTCTAAGGCGACTGTAAGCAGGGCGTTGATACCTTTTCCTGAAATGTGATATGGAAGACAGAGATAAAATAACTGATTTTAATGTTCATTTTTGTCTCATGAATTTTCTTAAATGTTTCACTTTCTGTGGGTTGCCCCTGGTTCTTTAACCTTTAGTGCGGAGAAGTTCCGACTCTTGTTCAAGTTTCATCACATCATCATCGAGTCCGTCTGAGAAGATCACCAGCACCTAAAGGACAAAGTTGTTGTGACATTGTTATTACAATGTGATATAACCAACAAAAGATATTAAGAAATTAACTTTTGGAGCCTGGGATCAACCACACAGGAGACATGTAGTGTTTGGGCCCACCTTCACACCAGCATTGGAATTCTGGAACTTATCGCGGAAGGAGCGCAGGAGGAAGGAGTTGAAGTATGTCGTCTGGGAGGTCTGCAGGGCCATAACCTTCTCCACGATCTTCTCGTCGTACTTCTCGAATGCGAAGTCGTAGAGAACCTTTCCGTTCTGCTCCACCACACGGAAGCCAATGTTAGTCTGAATGGGACCGTCTCCCGCCACGCAGCACAGGCCCTTCAGGCTGGACACATAGCGGATGATCTGTGGCAGGAAGTTCTGTAGCTGGGCTTGGCCATCGAAGAGCCGCTGGGCGGTGGCCCTGCGTGTAATATCGAACCCCATGGCGATGTCTATGGTGCAGCCTATTGGACACAGACACACTCATTATTACTTGTCATCCAAATGAACCCCTTTAACAAGTCCAAAAGTTTTATGTGTGAGGTTTACTCAAGGATAATATGAGAGACAATGTAAAATAGCCTGTTTTTCAAACACTAATAAGCATTCTTTGATGAGGGTTTTACATTGAGCCAGGAGAGACAGATAGAGACAGATAGAGAAAAGAGAGGAAGGGAGTGAAAGGAAAGAAAACGGGCATACTGTTAACTCACTCGGATCAGTTTTTTGTACACTGGAGGAGCATATAGTATCCACCACCTTCTTCTTGATCTTGTCCAGGCTGGCAAAGTTCTGCACAGAGAAGACCCTTTCCGGATTGAGAGTGATTTGCCCGAGCTCAACAGGCTTGTGATCTTTCCCTATACCGATGGCAAACACCTCAATGTTCATGACTCTGAGTTCCTCTGCTGCATGCACAACAACATCATCTGAACGTCCGTCCGTGATCACAACCAGGTTCTGAGAGACCTTGGCATTGATACGGCTCCCTCTAGCTGGTTGGAAGTACTCCGTACGGACGTAGTCCAGGGCCTTTCCAATGTTCGTCGTGTAATTAATCTGACTCATCTTGTTTATCTGGTTGTTCACCTCTGCTTCTGTGTAATACTCATTCAAGAAGAACTCCTTTTTCGGATCACTGCTGAACTGGGCGACTCCCACCCGGAACGACTGCTCTGAAATGTTGAAGCTGGAAACAAGGTCTGAGGCAAACTTCTTCATGATAGTGAAGTCGGTGGTGCTGATGCTCCCTGAGCTGTCAATCAACAAGACCAGATCCCCCTGCGTTTTTTCACAGACTAAGAGGAGAAGAGAAGACGTCAGATCATATTGAACCATCTAATTTCAACAGGCTTTATGCTTTCAGTTTAGATATTTTTACAGTTGCATTCTGCCTTACCTGGTTTGCTGGTGTTGCAGAATTCAATGGAAATATTTTTGTGCAGTGTGTCTAGTTTATGGAAGTCATCCACAAAGAAAACCTTATTCGTGTCCCCTGCCATGAGCTCAAGCTCTTGTCTTATTTGCTCCAACCACACCGATGCTATAGACTATGATCCTATTGTCCCGTAGCTCCTTGGCTGGCCCAGCTAGGTCATTGGGGTCAGTAGCCTCACCGTCTGTGATCACCATCAGCCACTGGGGGACATTTAGGGCCTTTCGCCCGCCGTACTGTGCACCAAAATAACCCAAGGAATACTTGAGAGCCTTGCCAGTGTAGGTGTCTCCACTGGGCTCTATAAGCTTTGTGATGGCACTATTGACGTCTCTCTTAGATTTGTATTCGTTGAGCGTGAATATAGACTTGGGGTCATCTGAAAAGACAATCAGACCATAGCGTGTCTGCTTCTCCCCAACAGAGGTTTCATTGACCACGGACATCATGAAGTTTTTCATGATGGCAAAATTCTCTGTGCTGATGCTGGTGGAGCCGTCCACCAAGAAAATAATGTCTGCGATCTCCGTCCTCACACACTCTGGTGGAAGAGAAGAAGAGATGGAGGAAAATATCAATGTCAAAATCTAAGAAATGCGAACACATTGCTGCTTTTAAGTAATGTTTCGTGAACCAAGTGGCACTCACCTCTCTCCGGATCACAGATTGCCAATGCCAGTTGCCTCTCCAAAGCCTTGAGTGCATCAAAGTCCCTCTCGGAGTAGACTCTCTCCTGTGCGCCACTGATCTCCAGCAGCTGTGTATTGTTGGCATTGACCACCCCAATGGCGTAGATGATCACACCCTTGTCTTGAAGTTTCTCGGCAGGAGCCTTTACCTCATCCTGCGCCTCACCATCGGTTACGATAATCAGGAACTGCTTCACGTTAGTGCGCCCCCCTTTCGGTGGGTCAAAGAACTGCGAGGTGTAGGACAGGGCTTCGCCGGTGTGTGTGCCCCCGCCTAACTGTTGCATTGTTTGTACACCCTGCAACATGCCTTCCTTATCATTGTGCTCGTTGAGAGGGAAGATCACTTGTTGGTTGATGCTGAACTGTATGATGCCCACGCGCACTTTATCCAGGCCTATCACAGATTTGTTGATGATGGATTGCATGAAGAGCTTCATCTTCTGGAAGTCTTCGTTGTTGATGCTCCCTGAGCTGTCGATCAAGAAGAGGACATCCCCCTGCATGTCCTTGCAAACTGTGAAAAGAGAACAAATAGTAATTTTGCTGATGTTATAACTCAGTGTGTGCTCATAATCAATCCCTGGCAAGAGATGAGGTGTTTCATATTTTTACTGAAATCAGAAAAGAAGATGCAACACTTAAAAACATTAGAGATTGCCTTACTATCAGGGGAGCAGATATCTGTGATGATTTCATTTTTTATTGGTTTCAGTGCGTCAAAGCTGTTGACAAAGAACTTCTTCTCTTGGCTGCCAGCAATCTCCAGCAGCTGTGTATCGTTGGCTTGATTCACCCCAATTGCATATATGGTGATGCCCTGCGCCCTCAGCTTTGCTGCTTCATCCTTCACGTTGTCTTGAGACTCCCCGTCCGTGATGACAATGAGGTACTCGCGGACCTTGTGACTACGGGTGACCTTAGCCCGATCAAAGTAGGGACCCATAGAGGTCAGCGCTAATCCGGTCCTTGTCCCGCCTCCAAGTTGGTTGATACCATTCACTGCATTCTTCACTGAAAGTTGGTCAAGGTAGGTTGTCAAGTCAAACTCAAGATCTGGTTCATTAGAGTACTTTACCACACCCATGCGGACATGATGCTGCCCAATGTGGAATGTGGGTATGAATTCGTTAATAAACTTCTTCATGTCAGCAAAGTCTTGAACTTTAATACTTCCAGAGTGGTCGATCAGGAAGAAGATGTCTGCTTCGTCTGTCTGCAAACAGCCTAGAATCGAAAGAGAAAAGAAAACACTGGTGTCATCTCGTACACCGCATCTTTATCTACATTCCTCTACAAATGGCGCCGGAGAAGATGGCTGCCGTTTTACAGCCCTCTAACCAATTGTACTATTATGTGTGTTTTTCCTGTTTTTCATAGCCATCTATTTACCAACACAAACCAATGTTGGCATTAAGATTGCACTGAATGAGCTGTATAAGGCCATAAGTCAACAGGAAAACGCTCATCCAGAGGCAGCGCTCCTAGTGGCCGGGGACTTTAATGCAGGGAAACTTAAATCTGTTCTACCTAATTTCTACCAGCATGTTAAATGTGCAACCAGAGGAAAAAAAACTCTAGACCACCTTTACTCCACACACAGAGACGCATACAAAGCTCTCCCTCGCCCTCCATTTGGCAAATCTGACCATAACTCTATCCTCCTGATTCCTGCTTATAAGCAAAAACTAAAGCAGGAAGCACCAGTGACTCGGTTAATAAAAAAGTGGTCAGATGACGCAGATGCTATGCTACAGGACTGTTTTGCTAGCACAGACTGGAACATGTTCTGGGATTCTTCAGAAAGCATTGAGGAGTACACCACATCAGTCACTGGCTTCATCAATAAGTGCATCGATGATGTCGTCCCCACAGTGACCGTACATACATACCCCAACCAGAAGCCATGGATTACAGGAAACATCCGCACTGAGCTAAAGGGTAGAGCTGCCGCTTTCAAGGAGCGGGACTCTAACCCGGACGCTTATAAGAAATCCCGCTATGCCCTCCGACGAACCATCAAACAGGCAAAGAGTCAATACAGGACTAAGATTGAATCGTACTACACCGGCTCTGACGCTCGTCGGATGTGGCAGGGCTTGAAAACTATTACAGACTACAAAGGGAAGCACAGCCGCAAGCTTCCCAGTGACACAAGCCTACCAGACGAGCTAAACCACTTCTATGCTCGCTTCGAGGCAAGCAACACTGAAGCATGCATGAGAGCACCAGCTATTCCGGATGACTATGTGATCACGCTCTCCGTAGCCGATGTGAGTAAGACTTTTAAGCAGGTCAACATTCACAAGTCCGCAGGGCCAGACGGATTACCAGGACGTGTACTCTGAGCATGTGCTGACCAACTGGCAAGTGTCTTCACTGACATTTTCCCTGACTGAGTCTGTAATACCAACATGTTTCAAGCAGACCACCATAGTCCCCGTGCCCAAGGACACTAAGATAACCTGCCTAAATGACTACCGACCCGTAGCTCTGACGTCTGTAGCCATGAAGTGCTTTGAAAAGCTGGTCATGGCTCACATCAACACCATTATCCCAGAAACCCTAGACCCCACTCCAATTTGCATACCGCCCCAACAGATCCACAGATGATGCAATCTCTATTGCACTCCACACTGCCCTTTCCCACCTGAACAAGAGGAACACCTACGTGATAATGCTATTCATTGACTACAGCTCAGCATTCAACACCATAGTGCCCTCAAAGCTCATCACTATGCTAAGGATCCTGGGACTAAACACCTCCCTCTGCAACTGGATCCTGGACTTCCTGACGGGCCGCCCCCAGGTGGTAAGGGTAGGTAACAACACATCTGCCACACTGATCCTCAACACGGGGGCCCCTCAGGGGTGCGTGCTCAGTCCCCTCCTGTACTCCCTGTTCACCCATGACTGCATGGCCAGGCACGACTCCAACACCATCATTAAGTTTGCCGACGACACAACAGTGGTAGGCCTGATCACCGACAATGATGAGACAGCCTATAGGGAGGAGGTCAGAGACCTGGCCGTGTGGTGCCAGGATAACAACCTCTCCCTCAACGTGACCAAGACAAAGGAGATGATTGTGGACTACAGGAAAAAAAAGAGGACTGAGCATGCCCCCATTCTCATCGACGGGGCTGTAGTGGAACAGGTTGAGAGCTTCAAGTTCCTTGGTGTCCACATCACCAACGAACTATCATGGTCCAAACACACCAAGACAGTCGTGAAGAGGGCACGACAAAGCCTATTCCCCCTCAGGAGACTGAAAAGATTTGGCATGGGTCCTCAGATCCTCAAAAAATTATACAGCTGCACCATCGAGAGCATCCTGACTGGTTGCATCATCGCCTGGTATGGCAACTGCTTGGCCTCCGACCGCAAGGCACTACAGAGGGTAGTGCGTATGGCCCAGTACATCACTGGGGCCAAGCTTCCTGCCATCCAGGACCTCTATACCAGGCGGTGTCAGAGGAAGGCCCTCAAAATTGTCAAAGACTCCAGCCACCATAGTCATAGACTGTTCTCTCTGCTACCGCACGGCAAGCGGTACCGGAGTGCCAAGTCTAGGTCCAAAAGACTTCTCAACAGCTTCTACCCCCAAGCCATAAGACTCCTGAACAGCTAATCATGGCTTCCCAGACTATTTGCACTGCCCCCCCCCCCACCCCATCTTTTTACGCTGCTGCTACTCTGTTAATTATTTATGCATAGTCACTTTAACTCTACCCACATGTACATATTACTTCAACTACCTCAACTAGCCGGTGCCCCCGCACATTGACTCTGCACCGGTACCCCCCTGTATATATAGCCTCCCTACTGTTATTTTATTTGACTTCTGCTCTTTTTTTTCTCAACACTTTTTTGTTGTTGTTTTATTTTACATTTTTATTAAAAATAAATGCACTGTTGGTTAAGGGCTGTAAGTAAGCATTTCACTGTAATGTCTGCACCTGTTGTATTCGGCGCATGTGGCCAATAAAATTTGATTTGATTTGATTTGAAATTAAACAACAAGAAGCATTGGTGGAGTCATTTTGATCTCACTTTGCTTGGCAGTGTATGTCCTTGCGTTGTCTTTGACTGCTTTTTTGAGGATGTTGTAGCACACACTCCTCTTTAGGCTCTTCTCCAGGGTCTTGAGCTTGGCAAAGCTGTCCACATTTAATACGTGCTTGTTAGGGGGATCTGAAGCGATCTGTCTCAGCTCGTTCTCGTCAGCATCCTTGATCCCCACTGCGTAGACAGTGATGCCAGCTCGGCGCAGTGCAGCAGCATGAGAAGTTACGTTGTCCTGGGACTTTCCGTCTGTGATGACAATCGCAACCTGCTGCACCCCCTGTTCTATCCGACTGCCCCTCTCCTTGATAAACATCTTCTCCCTGGCATACTCCAGGGCCTCGCCAGTGTACGTGAGACCGCGACGGTAGGGCAAGATCTTGATGTACTGAAGGATATTACTTTTTTCTTGGAAGGAGTTGAGGTAGACCTGAGCCGAGGCCTTGTTGCTGTAGAGGACGATGCCCACCCTCACCCTGTTGAAGTTCACTTCCAGGCCGTCCACTATCTTGTGGATGAATCCACGAACCAGCTGGAAGTTTGCAGTTCCAATGCTCGAAGATTCATCAACTATAAACACAATGTCAGCCAGCGAAGCTTCACTGCAATCTGCAATAGAGAGGAAATTGTTAGTCAACAGCTCTTATCCTTTATGCATGAGCAATTATTTCACAGGAGATCAGATATTCACTTAATTCACCACAAATCCCCAAATGAAATGCCCTTACCATCGGTCACAGTGACCACCTCCTCTTCAGTCTCAAAGACAGTCTTTAGCACGGAGGCAATGGATGTAGTTTGGTAAAAGAATGGCGAGGTGGCCATTACTTGTAGGTCTGGAAGTGTAGATTCACCCAACCCGATGGACACAATGGTTGTCCCTTCAGATTTGATAGTGCGTGCCACCTTCATCACGTTATCCTTCGAATCCCCCCCTGTCACTGTGACTAGAAACTGCCGGTAGCCTTGTTCGTTACGGCCACCAGACGCTGTGGTGAAGAAGTGTGTGCGGGCGTATTCCAGGGCATCGCCCAAGTAACGAGACCTGTTGGGGCGCAGCGGCAGCCTGAATTTCTTGAACGCCGCCATGTACTCTTCCTTGGTGTTGTGGGTGTTCAGTAAGAACTCCACCTTGGTGTCCTGGGCAAACTGGGCCAGACCCAGGCGCGTGGTTTTACTGCTCGGGTTGAGTTGGTTGACCAATCGCATCAGAAGGGTTCTGACCTGCTGGAAGTCTGCCTGCATCATATTGCTGTCCACCAGGAAGAAGACATCAGAGAACTTTGGGATCAGAGCTGAAAACATATTAAAATAAAGGAAATAATAATTGTTATGACAGCAGTGTGAATGTATGCCATATTTAATTTTCATTTTTAGAAGTGGTCCTTTAATATTGACTTTTATGTTGGCACAAGTGGCAGTAGACAATGTCTGCCTCTCAAGGTTGAATACTTTTGTTTAGAACAGGTACAACTATAGCAAGTCTCTTGGATTAGACACTTTGCAGGTCCAACATTCACCATTTGTTACAACATACAGTATGTTACCTTATAAAAGTATCTTACCCATCCTCTGGTTCTCCATGGAGACACAGACAGTCTGCAGCAGACCCTGAGAAAGTGTCTGTAGGGCCTGGAAACGTTCAACGCTGACCAGGAAATGCTCGTGGGGCCTGTTAGCGATAGCCTTCAGCTCGGTGATGTTGGCTGCCCCCACTCCAATAGCAAACACAATGACCCCATGCTGCCTTAGCGCCTTGGCTGGCGGCACTACGTCGTCCCCAGACTCCCCGTCGGTGAGCACCACAGCAATCTGAGGCACCCTCTGATCAGCGCGGCTCCCTTTGGCCGTGGTGAAAAACTCTTCCCGAAGGACGGTAATGGCTTTGCCGGTGTCTGTGCCTCCCCCGAGCTGTGGAAGCCTGTCCACTTGTTCCAGTAGGGCCCTTTTGTCCGTATGTTCACCCAAATGGAATTGCTTCTGGATCTCGTTACTGAACTGGGCCAGTCCTACGCGAACCTTGTCCGCTCCGATATCCAGCCCCTCGATGAAGCTGTGGAGAAACCTCCGAACCTCCTGGAAATTTGTAGGGCTGATGCTGGTGGAGCCATCCACAAGGAACACAATGTCAGCCACTGTGGCACTGCGGCACTCTGGAGACGAAGGAAAATAATACTTAATGTAATTTATTTATAAAGAATATTTTTCAAATTTAAACAATGAATACACTGTTATAGTACCTTGGACCACTTGGGAGATCGGTCTCTTTGCCTCATCTATGGTAGTACACAGCATCTGGACGAGGATCTGGGAGATCCCCTGCAGCGCGGCAAAGTCCGACACGCTGTACACGTGCTGGTCGTGAGGCGTAGTGGCGATCTCCTTCAGCTGATCTTCGTCTGCTTCTTTGATCCCGATGGCGTACAGTGTGACGCCCCGCTTCTTCAGCTTAAGGGCATGCAGCCCCACTTTGTCCAGCGATTTGCCGTCAGTGATCACCACGGCGATCTGGGGCACGTTCTCGTTCACTCGGCTCCCGGCTCGGTCAACAAAGAGCTCGTTCAGCAGGAAGTCCAGGCCCAGGCCCGTCTTGGTTTCACCACCCATATAAGGCAGGTTGTTGATGTACTGCAGTATGTCCTGTTTGTCCTGGAAGGTGTTAAGGAGGAACTCGGTGCGCACCGTGTTGCTGTACTGGACCAGACCGATGCGCACCTGGTCGGGGGCCACGTCAAAGCTGTTGACCAGCGTGTACAAAAACTGGCGGATCTGCTTGAAGTTCTCTGAGCCAACGCTCCATGAGCCGTCCACCAGGAAGACGATGTCTGCCACGGCCTCTTCCTTGCAGACTGGGAGAGGAAGAGAACAGTCGTCAGCCAATGGAATTTCTTACACATGTCTAAACCACAAGAATGCAATGAATGCAATTAATCAATCAATCAATCGATTAATCAAATATTATTTGTACAGTGCTTTTATAAAAACACATTTCTTATAACTGCTCAACAGTCTAAACCCCCAACGAGTTGGTCGTAATTTTGTATTTGTGTGGTATTTCTTCAACGCTTCTCTGTTTATGCCATTCTGGACTGTGTTCTGCATTCTGGACTGATTCAGATGTCAGGAGACAAACATGCTTACCTGTTTTTTGTGCTCCGTTGACTAGAAAACATGCTGCTATGGTGAAGATGGCCAGGAGGCCCTGTGTCCCCTCCATGTTGGAACGTTTCTCTAGTCTCTCTCCTTGAAACACAAACATGGACAGATCAACTGTTGGAACACAGAGAGTTGCTGTTTATCAGATCAAGTTGTGTTGACAACAGATTCAACTGAAATGTGGTTCGATCTAATTTAAACATAGCATCCTGTGACATCCTACAAATCACAGGAACATGTCAAAAAATCATTCAAGTCTTCATTTATAAATGTTTCTTACATCATAACATTATTTTGTACTACTCATGCATGTGCAACAGTGTTACTTCCGTCCTTCTCCTCACCCCAATCTGGGCTCGAAATAGGTATCCTATGAACACATCAACAACTGCCTCCCACGAAGCATCGGTACCTATCGCTCCACAAAAGCCACGGCCCTTGCAGAGCAAGGGAAACAACTACTTCAAGGTCTCAGAGAGTGTTGTCACCGATTAGAATGCCACTAGTGCGCACCGCTAGCTAGCCATTTCACACCGGTTACACATGTCAGTGCCTAAATTAGATTATACATTTCTTAAATAGTTTGTGGCATTTGGGGGGAGGGAGGGAGGCAATGTGGAGGGAGAGGAAAGGGTACCGTGACAATTTGAGTATCTTACAGTAAAATCAAGAGCCAACATTTAATGACTTCAGAGCACAGGTGGCCAAACATGCAACTAGTAAATCAGACCTGAGGCAACATGAAGCATCTGTATTAAATGGATTTCTCTGGGTTGCTGCTCTGTAAACTGATAGCCAACCAGTTCCAGATGCAGTGCATCAGACAACATCTAAGGTCCCTGATTGCTTGTGTGTGTGTGTGCGTGTGTGCGTGTGTGTTTGTGTGTGCACGCGTCCGTGTGTGTGTGTACGCAAAGGACACTGGATTGATGGTTAAAATCAAACCTTTTTGAGGAAACCAGTCTGTGCAGGTATAACAAGGGGGCTCTCCTGTTTGAGTGGAGGATTTGGCCACACTAGTCTCCTTCCCCCAAGCCATTTCAATATAGTCATGTCTATATCAATTTGCTGATCACACTACACTCTTAGAAAAAAAGGTGCTATCTAGAACCTAAAAGGGTTCTTTGGCTGTCCCCATAGGATAACCTTTTAAAGAACCCTTTTGGGTTCCATGTAGAACCCTTTCCACAGAGGATGCTACACGGAACCCAAAAGAGTACTACCTAAAACCAAAACGGGTTCTACCTAGAACCAAAAAGGGTTCTCCTTTGGGGTCATCCAAAGAACCCTTTTGCAACCCTTTTTTCTAAGTGCGCACACACAAACACACACTGGTCCTTTGTCACACTTTTAGGACATTTGGGACATTCGTGTCCATTTGAGACATTGCCAGTGCCTTCTTTTTTAATGTGAAGGGAACAGAAGTGTTAATTTCCTGCCTGGCAGTATGGAATGTGTGCACCACATCCTAGACCAAGGGCATGTCGAAGAGGGCCCTCATCTGAATTCTTCTTCCTTGTTCCTTTCACTCCCCAGCAGGATTCACCTAATGTATAACACAGCCAATAAATATGTATTTAGGACAAGATTCAGCTAATATAAAACAGCCTATAAATGTATTTAGGACAGGATCCAGCTAATGTAAAACACCTTATAAATGTCTTTAGGACAGGATTCAGCTAATGTTAAACACAGCCTATACATTTCTTTAGGACAGGATTCAGCTAATGTAAAACAGCCTATACATGTCTTTAGGACAAAGGCCCTTTGAAAATACTTCCTCTTTATGGATTATCTGTAGATTCGACCACCATTCCCAAATGGATTCCAAATATGCCGTCCTATCTTGCAATCCAACTAAAATAAAAATACAATTCTGATAGGTTTCCCTTTACAAACAATGCTTGATGTACCTGGGTCCAGTCAGACTTACTCCAGAGAAAGGGTATTGGAAATGGCTGGAACATACTGTACAGTTTTTCAGTCAGAAAGCGCAACAATAATCAACTCAGCGATTAAAACAGACTGTATCCAGAGAGAGTGTGTCTGTGTGTATGTGCCTAGTTATTTTGGGGTTCCTGAAATTTGTGGGTTTGGTTTAAGAGCCCTTAGATCAACGCTTTTTTGGGGCCCCGACCCCAATTTTTTTGAGAAATTGGGAAAAGGGGGGCCATCCAAACTGGAGGGCACCTGGAAAAGAACATGTTTAAAAAGGGGTTCTTACATCTCATTTGTTCGGACAGGGCCCACTAAATATTTTACATCTGGTTTCAAAAGATCCCCATGCAAAATTTCTTCTCCCTCTGTTCTCTATAAAGGGTTTTTACTTGGGCCCGCTTTTCAAAGAAATTTTTTTTCCCGGGGCCCAAACAAGTGGGGGTCTAAAAGAGGGGGGCCCCCCTTTGGGGTTTCAAGGGCCAAATCATCTTTTCCCAATCAGAAATGGGCCCCAAAAGGGGGGGGAAAAAAAAAGGGGGGTTTTTTTTGGGGAATTTTTTTAAAAACCCCCCCCCTTTTTTTTCCCTTTTTTGGGCAAGGTTTTTTTGGTTTGGGAAAAAAAAAAAAATTTTAAAAAAATTTTAAAAAAAATTTTTTTTTTTTGGGGGGTTTTTTCCCAAAATTTTTTTTTTTTAAAGGGGGGCCCTTTTGGGGGGGGGGGGGCCCCAAAACCCCCCCTAAAAAAAAAACCCCCCCAAAAAAAAAAAATTTTTAAAACCCCTTTTTTTTTTTCCCCCAAAAATTTTTTTTAAAAACCCCCAAAAAAACCCGGGTTTTTTTTTCCCCCCTTTTTTTTTTTTTTTTTTTTAAAAAAATTTAAAAAAAAAAACTTTTTAAAAAAAAGGGGTTTTTAAAAACCCCTTTCCCTTTTTTTCCCCCCAAAAAAAACCCCCCCCCTTTTTTTTTCCCCGGGGGGGCCCCGGGGCAATTTTTGGTTTTTTTCCCTTTCCCCCCCCCCCAAACCCCCAAAAATTTTTTTTTGGGGGTTGGGGGGGGGAAGGGGTTTTTTCCCCCTTTTTTCCCCCCCCCAAAAAATTTTTTTTGGGGGTTTTCCCAAAAAGGGGAAAAAAAAAAGTTTTGGGGGAAACCTTGGGGGGCCCCCCGGGGGGGGGGGGTTTTTTAAAAACCCAAAAAATTTTTAAAAAACCCCCCCTTTTAAAAAACCCCCCCCCCCCCTTTTTCCCCAAAGGGGGAACCTTTTTTGGGGATTTTAAAAAAAAAAAAGGGGGGGGGGGGGAAAAAAAAAATTTTTTTGGCCCCAAAAAAAAACCCCGGGGCCAACCCCCCCCTTTTTTGGGGGGTTTTTTTCCCCCTTTTTTCCCCCCTTTTTTGGGGTTTTTGGGGGGGGCCCCCCCGGGGCCCCTTTGGGGTTTTTTTTTCCCCCCCCCTTTTTTTTTCCTTTCTTTTGGGTTTTTGGGGTGGGTTTTTTTTTTTTTTTTTTGGTTTTTTTTAAAATTTTTTTTTTTTCAAATTTTAAAAACCCTTTTCCCCCTTTTGGGGTTTAAAAAAATTTTTAAAAACAAAAGGGGGGTTTTTTTTAAGGTTAAATTTAACAAAAATTTTTTTTAAAAATTTTTTTTTAAAAAAATTTCCCCAAAATTTTTTTTTTTTTTTTCCTTAAACCAAAAAAGGGTAAAAAAAAAAAAAAAAAAAGGGGGGGGCCCCAAAAAAACCCTTTCCCCCCTTTTTTTTTTTTTAAAAAAAAAACCCCCCCGGGGTTTCCTTTTTTTGGTTTTTTTTTGGGCCTTTTTTTGGAAAAGGGGGGCCCTTTTTTGGGGGAAAAAACCTCCTTTTTTTTTGGGCCCCGGGGTTTTTTGGGGCCCCCGGGGCCTTTAAAAAAGGGGGGGGGCCCCCCTTTTTGGCCCTTGCCCCTTAAAAAAAAAAAATTTTTTTTAAAAAAAGGGGCCAAACCCCCCAAAAACCCCCTTTTTTTTCCCCCCTTTTTTTTAAAAAAAAAAATTTTTTTTCAATTTTTTTAAAAACCCCCCTTGGGGTTTTTTTTAAAAAAATTAAAAAAAAGGGAAAAAGGGGTTTGGTTTTTAAAAAAAAAGGGCCCCCCCGGTTTTGGGGGGGTTTTTAAAAAAAAACCCCCAAAAAATTTTTAATTTTATTTTAAAATTTGTTTTTTGGGGTTTAAAACCCCCCCAAAAAAAAGGGGGGGGGAAAAAAAAGGGGTTTTCCCCCCCCCCAAAAAAAAAAAAAAGCCCAAAAAAGAAGGGTTTAAAAAAAGGGGGGAAAAAAAAAAAATTTTTTAAAAAATTTTTTTAAAAAAAAAAAAAAACCCCTTTATTTTTAAACCGGTTTTTTAAAAAAAGGGGGCCTTTTTTTAAAAAAAATTTTTAATTTTAAAGGGAAAAAAAAGAAATTTTTTTTTTTTTAAAAAAGGGAAAAATTTTTTTTTGGGAAAAAAATTTGGGGGGGGGGTTTTTTCCCGGGGGGTTTTTTCCCCCCGAATTGGGTTTAAAAAAAGGGGAAAAAAAAAATTTTTTTTTTTTTAAAAAAAGGGAGGTGGGAAAAAACCCCCTTTTTCCCCAAAAAAAAAAAGGGGGGGCCCCCCCCAAAACCCTTAAAAAATTTAAAAAAAAATTTAAAACCAAAAAAATTTTTTTAAAAAAGGGTTTTAAGGTTCCTTTTTCAAATTTTGGGGAAATTTCCCGAATTTCCTTTTTTTTAAAAAAAGGGGGGGGGGGTTTAATTTTTTGGGCCCGGGGGAAAAAGGAGTTTAAAAATTTTTTTTTTATTTTTTTACCCAAAAAAAAAAGTTTAAATTTTTTAAAAAATTTTTTAAAAAGGCCCCCCAAAAAAAAAAAAAACCCCAAAAAGGTTTTAAAAAAAAAAAAAAAACCCTTTTTAAAAAAAAAAATTTTTTTTTTTTAAAAATGTTTTTTAAAAAAAAGGCCAAAAGGGGAAAAAAATTTTTAAAGGGTTTTTTAAAAAACCTTTTTTCCCCAAAAATTTTTAAAAAGGCCCTTTTTTTAAATTTTTTAAAAATTTTTTTTAAAATTTTTTTAAACCCCCCCGGGGGGAAAAATTTTTTTTTTGGGGGTTTTTTTGGGGGGGGTTTCCCCCCTTTTTGGGGGGGCCCCTTTTTTTTAAAAAACCCAA